TAATCTACTGATGAAATGAGTTGTAGTGCAGAAAGTCGTTAAAAAGATGCTGTTGGAGGCGCCTTGTCAAAATTTATGCTCGTACCTATTTCATAGACTATAATAAAAGCACATGAAAATAAAAAGAAATGAAAACAACGACACAAAAAGACAAAAGCACCATTTTCGCTTTGCGCATTCGCTCGTCTCCGAACGAAGTTCGTCAAGCCAGAGCGAACGAAGCCAAAAAATCCATTTGTGTTCATTTTTATTCGATATAAAAGTTTAGAACCTAATAGCGTAGGTATATTTATGAACGCATTGTGCCTAATTATTCTGCGAGCACCTAAATTCAGGCGAGTGTGAATATATTCCTGCCCGGGGCCGGGATGATTCAATAAATGTCACCGAGGTTTTTTAGCGAAAACTCCGAGGGCCGTTAGGCCCGAGGTGAGTTTGCTAAAAAAAAAAGCGAGGTGACATTTATTGAATTCCCGGCCTTAGGGCTGGAAGGTGTTTCCCATACCTGTCAAAAAGCTCACAACGTATGATAGTGACGTCAGCAGCCGTGTGGTTCAACGTGTTTAACCACACCCCTTGAACCACACGGCTTGTAATATTAAAGCATTGCATTAAACTTTGAAAAGTGTGGTACAGTGCACGTGCCGTTTAAATGCCTAGATGTCTCGATTTAATCATGCAATGTAGCAGGTATGGGAAAGATTACAAGCATATATTGAAAAAAGCACCCCGCACCTTGAACTGCATGGGTTTACCTAATGTCCCGCTCCCGATTAAACGTTACCTATGTCGTTGCATATTTTTATTATCATAAGCATATTTTACATATATCTCATATATATAATAACTCATTATATTAAGCTTATGTACACAGTGTGTCTACATGAGGCTCGTCAACTTTTCTCAACATTTCCTTCTGAACTCTGAAGCAAACACGGCTGGCTGTCCCGAAGAGGCCGAGGGAGATATTAGACAACGACCCGATTTGAAGGCTAGCCGCCTGCTGGAACATAGAGAGGGAGAGGGAGAGGGAGAGGGAGAGGGAGAGGGAGAGAGAGAGGGAGAGGGGATAGTGTGTTTTTTATGGTTTAAAATGCCGAGTTTATTGAGAAGAGTAGGCACCCCCTGCGATCAACGCAAGCGAGACCTATGCGTCCGACCCAAAATTGCATCACTTTATACATGGGGTTGGCATAATGGAAGCGAAATTGTTGGACGCTCAACTCCCCGCCCCCCCCCCCCTCGTAGCGGACGGAGCCCCTGCCCCCTGCTTGAGAAGCGGTCCCCTCGTTCTTCCGGCCTTCTCCTGCGTGCCTCTACCCAAGATACCTATAAGAAACCCTCTACCGGCCGCCCTGCTTCCGACAAATCAATACCGTTGCCTCGCGCCAAACAGCTGTAGAATCAATGGATCACCGCAGATTCTTCTGCTTTCATTATCGGTATGATATGTTGATGAAATTCATGCAAAATTTTCATATGCGGAAGGTATTTTACCAGTTCCCTCTTTATTTGGCTGCATTGTAGAGGTTTAGGCTTTGTTTACGTTTTTGAATGACGCGCCGCGCTCTGACCAATGATGAGCTAGCACACAGCTGAGCTTGCGTCAGCAGCCAATGGTGGCGCGCGTTACAGCTCCCGTGTTGGCGTCCTTCGTTTCATAAAAGCAGAGCGAGGTGCACGAGGCCATAGCCCGGAGGTACTGCGACGTGGTTGGTGCGCTGGAGATTGCTGAGACTCCGCACGTTCCTTTGTTGCTACTCTAGGTAAGAGCTCAGCGCCTGTGCCATTCGCTGCGAGTGTTTGGCGGAGGAGGACGCGGTTCTGCCAGCTCCCCCATCGATTGCTTTGTTACTGCGTCGTGGGTAGCGAATCACGCTCCTCAGCTCCTCCGGTAGCGGTGCCAGTGTTGTGCCACTTCGACTATTGAGTAGGTATTCATATAAAGATTGTACGTGCAACATGTCAGTTGAAAAGAGCGAATGCAATACTTGAAGCACAGCGTAAGCGATTTTCGTACGGGTAGGGTGGGATTTGATTTTGTTGCTTATTTTTAGACGAATGTTTCGTGAGAGTTAGTTTCACTTTTTCCCAGTCATTACTCCAAATTCTTGGTGTAAAATCAGACTGCTTTCAAGGTACATCTGTACTTCGAAAATTGAATTCGTTGCGTCATGTCTTCAAACTCGGGCAGGGCTGTTCGAGAAATTGAAATGCAACGCTCGTCGCTCGATACCTACCTACTGTTCATGTCGTTAGTTTTTGCAAACAGTGGCTACGGTTTGTACGATAAATTCATATAACGCTTGCATGTTTTTATTATTTTTGAAGTTCGCTCCATTTTTTTAAGCCGAAGTGCGAGTATGGAGCGGACGGATTACGTGTAACATAGCATAATGATAAACGATGCTTTGTCGAGACAAAATTCAAACGATTCAGAAAACGAACTTAAATTTGATTTTGGTTCTTACTGAGCAAGTTGCTACCTTCTTTGTGTGATTTTCAGGCTCAGTTATTAGGTAGCCAAAAATGACAACAAAAAAACATTTGTGTAGGTACTAGAAATAAGCATTAAGGACCAAAAAATAAAAAAAAATTGAATGAATGTAACTTTTGATCTTATACAGGAGATCCCTCCCAATCTTGCATTTTGTCTTAATTCTTGGCTCAAATAGGCGTTATTGCGAATATTCTCCATTGTTGAGAGGTAGCTATCTAAATTTTATATCTTCATTCCTTCCATCGTTTTCGACTCGTCGAACTTATAAGAGGGATATATGAACCAGCTGGCTAAAGATCCATTAATGAAGAAACGTCATTATCATACCTTAATCAAAACTAACTATACTATATAACTAACATCAGCCCTAAACTTGAGGAACATATCACACAACCGCTCTTTTTCAGGACTCCACTAGCCAGACTCCGCCATGGGGAGTTACTGGTCTGCCGAAGCCGATGTTAGTAAGGCCTCGTCGTACTTGCATGCACAGAGCCTGTGGCGCCTCTGTGTCTGGGCCAACCCCGTACCTCTTTCGCGATTTATTTCAATGTGGTGTTGGACGTTTGGTCTCCAGTTCATTTGGGCATGAGTGGCTGTGTGCTTGGCGCGAACAGCTGAACACACGCTGTGTTTGCATGATAATGCGTTGTCAATAACGGTCTGCTTTTATCACTTTTCCTTGTTGCACAATAAGTTGTCACTTACGTTTTAAATATTGTTTGTTTTCACCGCTTTCTTAATAGCTCTGAATTGATTTTGTAAAACTGCATGTTTTGTGCATACATTCCAAAGTTTTAACTGATTCTAAAAAAAAAAATATAGAAAATACTGGTATGAAACTGGCAAATTGGGTTAGTCACTTTTGTTTGAGTACCTATCATCACGAGGTTTTCAGTGAGGACAAAAAAAAAGTCTGTCTCAGGCACCTAAAGGCTAAACGTCATTGTTTTCAAAATTTTAGTCCACATCTACAAGTCGATATTGGCCACTATGTTGTGTGGCCGTTATCGGGCTGGCGTGCTCCAGCCTGTTGTTGACTGAGGTCCGACGGCGGCGGTGGCGCGCGCAGCTCCCACCGCCCGCCCGCCGTCGACTGGGGGGACCAGCTGGTGCCGCCTTTGTCTGAGTTATGTGTGGCTGGTGGCTGGGCCGCGGTGCGGGCGCCTGCACGCCGGGGTCGACCCCCCGACAGCCGACGACGTCCACCGGACATGGTTGGGCCGACTCAGGCCGACCGACACTCGTCGGTGTGTTCCCCCTCCCCGCCCCCTCGCCGGTGCCGAGCCGTCCAGGTGCTGGCGGAGCTGACCTTGCTGGCTGCGCTGCGGGTGGCGTTGCTGGAGGCGGTGCTGTCAATGTTGGGAGTGGGCTGAATGCCGTTTCCCTGCTGTTCCTTGATTGTCTTGCTACCCTTTTCCCTTGGAGTGCATTATCTTATGTTACCACATCCGTTATCAGCGCACAACTGCCACTTACTTATCTTGCACATGCATGACTGTTCGCGCTTTGCACTTGTGCAAGGTCCAATGGCTTTGTTCTTTGTCCTTGTTAGTCGTAAAGTGTTAATTGATTCTTTGTTAGTTCCCCACTGTTAATTAACGCTTTGATAACAATCCGTTTTCATAATTTATCGTCGCTTCAGTATACATTCTGCATTTTCAATCATTATAGCGGCAATCTGTTGTAAAAACGTCATTTCCAATTAATTCCGGACCTATTCTGGTTCAAATCACTAATTTGGTCACCGGGCTGACGTCGTGCGTCGTTATCTAGGTGCCCGATTGGCAGGTGACTTACACTCTTGAATCATCTATCGCAGTTTCGGAGGCTATGCGCCGGCACTGTCGAGCCAAACGTCCAATCTTTGCTGACAGATCTCTGCTTACCTGACGCCACTTTTATGTACTGACAGTCGAATCGCCGCTCTGTTGCAGCCCAACGCGGATCCCAACGCAACCGTCGACATGGCCACTGGAGACTGTAAGTTGTATTTGATCATTTGATCAGCCAGTGATGAGGTAGATGTTGATGTAGAAGTAGACTCTACTCGTGAAAAGCATGCTGCATGTGGTACTCTCGTGAATATTCTTATGGCGTGACCGACCCACTCCTTTCCTAACCCATGACTGCTGAGAGTGATGCTGAACCGTGAGAATCTCCATATTTCATACCAGCTGCTGACCTAAAATCCCGGCATCAGCAACGAGATATTGCGACAGTATGAACTGGTCTGAACTTGTGGCGTAGATTCGGGCTCATTTCAATTCATGCTATGGATATGAGGCGCATAAACAAGACCAACGTCGAACTCTTGAAGTAACGCAGCTGTCTCGATTGGGCGACTTCAGACCCGCAGCCCCCTGACACTGTGAGCTCCTCTCCAGCTATCTCTCCAGCAGACTGTCCTACACCGTCCCTGAATGAAGTGTCCGGCCACCGGCCTGTATCGGCGGGCCACGCGGCTGACTCACAGGAGCCCCACTGGCGGCGCCATATCGATTGTGGCGAGCGCAGTGACTCTTACGGCGCTTGCTCCCTGCGGCGGCGACGCCCCTCCGTCGGCCCCGGCTCCAGTCGCCGCGTCGATTTCGACGTTGGCGAGGCGCAGGGCGTGTCCACTCGTTGTCGAGCCCTGTCGACGCTCGGACGGTCACTCTGTCTGCTGGCCGACGCCGGTCAACACTTGCAGCCATGATTTTCGGCCTCATCAAGGGTTCTGTGTATAGTTGCTTTTGCAACAGTTGCTCGACGCCGGCGATCGCAGCCAGAGGTGAGGTTGCGCTGCTGCAGTGCTTTGTCCTGGTGTTGGTGTATTGAACCGTGAAGGGTTATTCTCTGGTGGTCAGGGTGAGTGAACTAGGCTCCCATGGGCCCGGGCCGGAAGGGTGGGTGGAGAGTGGGGTGGCTGGTTTCAACACCTTGACCTGAAGGGGTGGAGGGGCGTCGTTAAGCAAAATTCACCGACAACTTTCATCTCCCAAATAGGTGGTCATCGTTTTCCTCTGGCTGGGACGCCCTTTGCGAAACTAGGCGCAGGCTCCGGCTGACCCGCTGTGCCCACCTGCAGGGAGGGTGGGGTGGTCGGGCGCTGACCCCAGTTCGCGTTGGCGGTGGGTTTGGGGCGCGCTGGACCGCGCCCAATGCACGCGGTGCATTGCGCCGCTGTTGGTGCTGTAATTCCGGCCTGGAGTTAACATCACACGCTCAATGAGAATCTGGTTTCTTTTGCACCTTATGGTGAAAATCGGCTTGTGAAAGTGTCAGGATCTTCATCTTTATTGACGCTTTTCTGAACCCTCGAATATTCGAAATTCTTAGGCGATGACTGCTCGATTGAAAGACATCGGAAAGCCGTATAGTTGATTGACCTGAAGTGCAATGTGCCACTGAGTGACTCGTGTGCAGTCGTGTTTCGGGCCAGGCGGGGTGGGGTGTGGCGGTGACTCATAGGGACGGACGGGCGGCGCCGGCGGCGGTCTGGGTCGGGTCACTGGCGGTTGCCACGGCAACGAGCGCCGCCGGCGCCGGACCGGCACCGCCCCGCCCTCCCCACCCCGCCCCGCTCCCCCTGTCGCGAAGCGGTGCGCACTGCGCAGTGCCCCCAGGGATTTTCGCCAAAAGACGGCGCCGCTAATTGTTTGCTCGCGTGGCTCTTGCGGCGCCGGAGCAATAGCTGTCCCCCTGGATTGGGTGGTCGCACTGCCCGCTGGGCTGACTGAGGCACTGTGGCAGTCGGGCGGGCTATTGGGCCGATCCGGGTTTTGGGTTTACGGTCCGGCTCGATTCGGCTTCCATTGGATGATTGGCTCGTCGGAAATGTTCTGTTGAAAGTTGTGTGGCGGTGATGGTTTCTGGACTAAAACTCGGAAACTTTTGGTGTCAGCTTTTAGCCTCGGTTGTTCTATGTGGATAAATTCGATAGCTTCAGACGCTTCCTTTGTCCGTTTCGTCGAACGGATGTGCGTGCTTTTTGCTGTTAAAACCTCACGCACATATAATGGTTGATCCCTGGGATTAGTTATGACAAAGACGGCTAACTGATGTCCATCTATGGATGAAAAATGCCCGTGCGAGTGTGAAGAAGTAGGTAATTACTTCGAAGTGAATTCAGGAATTCGCTGATAGTTCTTATCAACGCCTGGGTTGAGAACATGAACCCTGACTCGAAATTGATGCGATTTGCTTCGAGCAAAATAACTGAATCCCAAGTGATTCAAGCGCAGTTTTCTCTGCCGGGCAAAAAGCAAAGCACGACGTTATGGGCTTTAAAATTGTTATGGGCACAAAATTTGCCAAACACAAGTAACTCTGAGACAAGCTCGTTTCATGCCCATCGAAAAACATTTTTCCTCTGTATGCAATGGTTGTGATGAACTGTTGCGATAAACTGCTTGGTAAGGAAAGCTGTCACAAATGAACAATCTGGTAGAAATATTGTGTCATTTATGTGAAGTACTGTCACCTTCAGAGTCGTGAGACATCGGAGATTTATTTCTGCGGAACTTTCCACCTTCCGTTGCTGACGTCACGGCGCCCGCTGCGGTGCCCTCTAACCCCCCCCCCCCTCCCCTGAGGGGTGGCTTTAAACGCCAGTGGCAGTCTCGACTGCCGCCCCGCAATCGATAGAGGCCCGTGTTACTGCGCTGCCCGAAACATGACGGGCGCCGCCCCGTCGAAATGTCAGTCGGCGAGTCGAAGAATCCAGCCCTCACCGGCTCAGTGACACGGGAGGTCGGCGGCTGTCCCCACCAGCGCGCGGGGAATTCAACACAGCAGCAGCCGTTGGGAGACCGTTGGTGATCGCTTATGCATGTTGTGAGTCGTTGAGAGCACGTTGCGGCCTGCAGCGCCGATTTGAACTCTCCCGCCTCCCCAGTCGACAGCACGGTTGCTGCTCCCGCTGCAGACAGCTGCCGACCAGCTGAGCGAGGCTGGCACGGTGCCAGAAACGTGCCCGTTTGGCCGCAGTGCCTCGTCGCAGTCTCCGTCCCTTTGTTGTGGAGCTGGGCCCGCCTCCGGGCAGTCAGCTGATGCACAGGATAGCCAAAGCGGCGGGGTACGAAGTTTTCACCATTACACTTGCAAATTGTGTGGGAAAATTGGATTAGTCTCCGCATTGCCCACTCGGGGGAGGCTGGGAAAGTCGCCCCCACCGGACTGGCAGTCCTTGAGACGACTGGTCGGCGCTCGCTGCCGCCGTCCCGGAGCTGGCTGTGCAGCCATCCTGTACCGCTTTGTTCGCGAGGCCTGCCAGCGAGCGGCGCACGCGGCCGTCCAAGGCCATTTGTGTTGATGTTTTCAGCCCGGACACGAGCACTGAGGTGGGCGGAAACGAAGGACGCCGCTCGCCAGGTAGAAGCCGATCCGACAGATTTGACCTGACTTGCCGATGCCGTGACAGAGATTACAAAAAAGTTCGAGATCTTTGAGGTTTGACGATTTGACCTTCGATGAGAGGACAATCTTCGTTCTGGCTTTACTTTGTTTCGTTTTCTATCTCGTAAAGCTGAAGCCCTTGCTGAAAGCTAGAGCTTGACTGGGCCAAGCTGCCCCCTGCGGGTGGGTTTGACTGCTCGCCAGAGGCTAGCAGTCTATTTTTGTGCGTGGCCTGCGTGTCTGGCACGCTGCTCGGCCCAGCCGCTCTCCGGTGTCAACATTGAGCGCGGTGCGTGTGCTGACGCGGCCTTGTGGCCGTGCCCCGGTTGGCAGCCGCCACGGGGCTGGAGGGATGCCATCGGTGACGGGACTGTCAGCGTCACACGGCCACAGGTGGTGATGAGACGGTGGTGTAACGGATGACCGAGTATGAATGTCGTGGTCTGATGCAAGCATTGTAATGCAGGCTGCTCTGCCTTTTGTTTGCAGTTTGATATTTGTCCAGCCTTGGGATGAGAATATTGTATTTCAGTCAAGAAATGATTATTTCGCAGACACTGGCAAACTTGAGTTACCTCTCCGAGTGTGCTGTCGTCACGATGGTTTCAGTATACTGCCGGAACTGAATGCCCATTCACAAGAGTTCATCTAAGGCTTTTCGAGCAAACGACGAGAGTTTTGTTTGCCTCGTCTAGACGCTCTCCGTCGGATAGGATATCAGCGTTGAGAGACAATACGTCCGTTGAACTCTACAGGGTTACTTCGACAGTGTTTTCATTGTCTCAATATCTATCGGTTCAGCTCTCAATTCTGTTGACGCGGCGTCCCAGCTAGGAGCGGTGACCACAGGGGCTCAGTTTTCTCCGGGGCCCTCCCTTCCCTCCCGGGCGAGCCGGACTGCGCAGTTACCGGGCCCCACACCCCTAAACAGTGCTCATGCACGTGGTAGTCGCGTGGCGCGCGCTGGCTGCACAGCGCTTTAAACCGCCGCGCGCCGCTCCCCGCGCGAGCTGTCAGCTGGACCATCAGCTGGTGCCGAGGTCACGTGACCAGCTCAGTGCCCCTCTGGGGGAGGGGGAGGTGAATTGCGCAGCAGTGCGCGGCGGTGGCCTTGCGGCGCGACGCGGTGCGTTGGGAGCGTTGCCCCGGGCGGTCCTAGACCCGGAGTTGGAGCCGGAGTCGCGGCCGCCCGTGGGCGGCACCGGCTTTACCTGCGCTGTTTGTTGCCGCTCGGGACATAACTGCGCCACGCGAGGCCGGTGTGGCGGTCCGACTGGACTGAATGGCCTCAGTACTGCCGGGTTAGGGCGTCCGCTGGGGTTAATCGGGGCGCCAGGGGTCACGGGAGGGTGGGGGAGGTCAGAGGTCGCCAGTTGGAGAGCTCTGTCTCGCGGACGCCGCCTTTTCTGGTGGTCCGGTGGGGCGCTGGATAAGAGGGTCGTTCCGGGTCGGTTTTTGTTGCCGTTTTAGTTTTGGTCACGGCTCCATTATTCCCAAGCCGGCTCGTGGTGTGTCCCGCTTGGCCGTGGGCCGGCTGCGACCTCTCTTGGTGCGCTGTCTCACTGTGTGCCGCCGCTACCGCCGCAGACCGACGCGGGGTGCACGTATCTGCCAAGAAGAACAACAAGCCTCACTGTAAGCAGCCGAAGAGACGGCATTTCATCAGTAAGTCCCTAAATATCCCCTCCCATGGGTCGGTCTGCCTGCCTGGCCGCCTGCTCGCAGTCGTTCTTTGTTGCACGCCGCGCCGAGCTTGCAGCAATCTCCACCGCGACCGCACCTCTGAGTTTGCATGCTCTTTGTTAGTTCATGTGCCCGGCACATGGCCTCGGGGGAGGGCGCCATGTGCTGCCCGCCCTTCGAACCTGTCCCGTGGCGCGGCGCGCTGCGACGCAGTAGATTACCAGTAAGCAGTCAGCCCACAGTTGATGTGAAAATATCCCTCCCCAGCGCCCACCGCTCTCAGTTGGCATGTGAACTCGTGTGTTATGAAATACGCTGAGACTTGTGAGTGCCTGTGTTTAAGTAATCGTGTTGATCTTCCCAAATTAGGGACCTAAGTAACCAACTTCAAACGGGTGTGTAGCTAAGTAGCTTTGTAGATGATTTATATTTATCATATAATACCGCTCTTAGAGAACAAAGGACTGCTCTTATGTCCATATAGTTTCATGAACATGTCTCAGCAATTCCGTTTAACCTCCCGGTACATTTATGGCCCCGAAGTTTCTCTTCACTGAAAGTCTGCCGCCGTGACTGTCACGGATCCCGGCTCCGTCGGTAGCGGCGGCCGACCAGCCGGCGCCGCCCGAGGGTATAAATACCCCCAGCGACGCGTCACGGTGAGCGTCAGTGCTCGGTCCCGGACAGTCAGCTGATCACGACCGTCCTCGGGCGCTCGATACAACGCCCAGCGGGCACCGACCCCGCCGGGCGCCCGGGGCGTCAATGGGCGCCGGCGCCCCGGCGGCGGGCGCTGCAGCGGCACGGTTAGCGGTGCCGGCAATTAGCGCTCATGAGCGCGTCCATGTGTGCCCGAAATGGCAGCTCGAGTGGAGGCGGAGATTCGCCGGCCGTGACCGGACCCGCTTTGTCTGCTGACGTCGGCTGGGGGCAGCGATAGCGGAGCTCGACCTCGTCACTCTACCGCTCCCGACTCTGTCTCGGTCTAGACAGCGCCCTAACAGACTGTCGTCTGACAGACCGTCTGGTGAGGAGCGGTTGCCGAGCCGGGTGTGTCTGCGCCCTGCGGGGCGTCCCTCACCCCTGCCCCTCAGCCGTCCGGTGGTGGGGTCCGCTCACCGCTGTGAAGGTCAGCACCACTGGTTCCTGCTGGAGACAGCTCTACAGAGCGCTGACACTCACTCTGCATACTGATGCACTGGGCAGCTTTGTCAGACTCAGCGCCGTGGCTCCCAGCCGCTGCGCTCGGTAGATTGCCATCAGTACGTCTTTGCGCTGCAGCGGCGGACTGCGCCGAGCCGTGCTGTGCCCGCATGCAGGAGCGCCTGCGGTTCCGCCCTGGGACGCGTGCCGACACGGCCCGTGACACGGCGCCGGTGGCGTGCCGTATTCATGACGGCACGGTGACGCACTGTGGCGTCCCCTCGGCACCCCAGGCTCGGTTCCGGCCGGAGAAAGCCCGTCCGGTCCCGCTGCTGGGGTTGTCCGCTCTGGTGTGGGTGTTCACTCTGGTGCGGAGGTCCGCTGTTCCGTGCGGAGGTCCGCCCTGCCGTGCGGAGGTCAGCTCGGATGGCCGCTCCCGTCCAGCCTCTCCTTTTCCGTCTGTCCTGTCCTTTTCCGGTGCGTGGGGACTGGGGATCGTTCGATCACCCGCTTTGGGACGAACGGTACCGACTGTTTTTGTTCCGTCGGACCGATGCCTTTGTTTTGGTCCGAGTTGCATGAGTGCGCACCGCTTGGTGGCGCTGCGGTCGTTTTGACGGACAAAGCAGGCCATAGTCACGTCCGTCATCAGTTGGTGACATACCAGGGAAATAAGCTAAAATTAGAGTGCTCTATTTATTGCTCCTGCCCCATGTTGAAGAGATACCCCTAAAAACGTGATCTTTTATCGGCCCTTACGCAGCAAGGCAGTAATTCTCAGACCGGTGGATGGTATCAATAGAAAGAGAATGCGTCAAAGATTACAATGAATTAATTAAAATAACATTAAAATGTTGATTAAGCGTGGAAATTAGTCCCAAACATAAGCTAATTATTGCTTCTACCTCGGCGACGGCGCTCCCCGCAGTCAGTGGAGAAGCTAAAATAAAAGCCACCATCCTCCTCCGTAAGTCAATTTTAGAGCGGCCGAGTGGGCCGATGCGGGGCCACCAAACTGAGGTAAGACGTGGCTAGCAATTGCAAACCGCCATAGAAATCAATATCTTAAGACGTACAATATGGGATGATTACTCTGAAGCTGGAGTGAAAGCATGAGTAGATTGCAAGAAACGAAATGCATAGATTGGTTGAATTATGTACAATAGGCACAGCTCAATAGATGAAGCCATTTCTATGATGTTGACATTTGACATAACCCTTCCTCTCCTCACCTATGACCTAAGTGCATTGGCAGTTACCGGCATAGTTTTTGAGCACGAGTTTAATTCGCCATCGGACCGCAATGCATGTTGCTAGGCTGCTGCAATTACAACGAACATACGAATACTGCCTTCATTTGTAGACGTTTGTTTTTTAAGCGGTCTTTGACGTACAAGGGGGCATACCTGTCGACAACTTGAGTTTCTCCGAATTTCAAAAACTCCCAGAATTTCAATTCCTTATGCACTGTTGTAGGTACAGCTACGTTCACAAGTTTTCGTTTCCTCCTGTTCTAAAAAGGATGATATTTGTCGATTTCGTGCGTCGCTGATAAGAGGGTGCGTTTAATAATTAGGCCCAACGCTTTCTGCATCCGCGAGTACCTACCTTCAAAAGGGAACAACAGTTTCCATTTATTACACTATGGGACATGTGACAAAATGACCACTGGAACACGCATGAAACGGAGCTCATATTCCTAAAAATGTCTACAATCACTTCCTTTCCGACACTATTAACAAATACCATCTCAAGTTAGGTGGTTGACAGACAGTCAATGGAGATCTGGGGAGACTGAGTGATGCCAATTCACCACTTAACTGATAATGAGGGCTGAGGGCAGAGAAACAGGCAACATGCACAACTGACAACTTGACAAGTGACAAAACACTACCAATATTGCGCAGTGCACAACATATTACAGCGGCCAGCCCAAAAAATGCTTTTGGTGGCTTATTGCAAAACAAGTCACTAATAAAATATGTCTTAGTTGCAGCTGAACACTGCACAATGATCACACTGTTCACGCTTTGAGTGAGATGCCACAGGTGGTTTGAATCACACTTTGATACAACTGCAAATCTGAAGTGTTATTATGAGATTCATGCCTCCATGATCACAGCACTTTGGTTGAGGTTGGCAAAACACTTGTAGTCTGCAGAGTTCCACATGAACTGCAGACACCTCATCTGGTGGTCTTCATGTTGCTCAACTTCTTCAGGAGGCAAATGTCGACCACCCAGCGGAAGCATGGTCCTGCAGAAAAGAAAGGTAATGCATAAGGTACAAACATTATCTGCTGAAACAGCCCCTTCTGTTGGCTGTTATTAAACTTTTAACATAACATAACAACATGTATTCCATGTATATTACATTTGTTGAAGTAAAATACTGCCGGCTATTTCAATACCAGAAAATGAAATTATATTGTGGCATAATTCACATGCTCAGCTATCAGTATCAAATAATAAAATAATTTAAAATTTGGCATATCCTATAAAACACATTCATAAAATATTCTACTTCACGTCACAAGGACTCACAATCTTTCTGTTGGGTGTTTGATTGACGCATTAGCTAAGTTTGTCTTAGGTCTTATTATTACACAAAAAAATTCATATTGCATTATTGTATCAAAATACTGCCAGCAATAACAAAACAAGAACATGAAATGTCAATGAGCAGGCCGCCTTTCCAAAAATGGGTTACTTTGAAAAGAATTTGTTTCTTTTAAGGAAAAGGAGAAATGATTATCAGGTAATTATCAGAAAACCACTCAACCAGCAAGTGGCTGGGTGGTTTAACAGCAAACATCAAGCCAAACCATATATTTACATTTATCTAACAATTGAGCCATTTGACTACCACAAGGATATGTGAGCAAAATAAGAATCCAATTATCCAATGTTGACTTCCTTGCAAAGTTTATGCCTTATTTTATGAAAACGTGTCACTAGAATATGATACTTATCATCGAATATTATTTAATTTACGATTTATTTCGATCGAAACGCACATGGAGTCACGCGCCATTTTCGTCGACGATTAATATGATCGTGTTTCATGAAGAGATAAGGGGCTTCAATGGTCTTTCAAAGCAATAATTTGATGCAAAAATTGGTAGGAAATAATATAAAGCTGGTTCAAATGGCCATCAACCATTTAAAACACCGAAAATACTCACGACTCCGTCCCGACGACCACGCAGCACCGCGCACGCCACACTACTGGCACAATGCCAAAACTGCTGTCACAGCAGAAATGTTTTTTTTTCTCGATTGCAATTATGGAATTATTTATTAAACAGAAGACGATCTTTCCGAAAAACCGACTGATTTCATACACAGATGCATGGAAAATAAAAAAATCCCGGGAAATTTATTTGTATTGTTTTGTCGATTTTGACATGCTCCTAGTTTGCAGCCATGTTTCGATATGTTCTACAGGGAGTTCAGAATTATTTCAGGACCAACCTTTTCCTCGTTCATTTTCCCGTCGATCATGAAATTTTTAGAGCGGAACAATTAGTTTCCAGGCGGTCCGAGCGGTTTTCGTGAGAAGGGTGCAAAAATCGGCGTCATTTTTAGAGCCTCGACACCAGCTCAACACAGGACCCTATGGGAGACGGTGAAGTAGCGGGAGCAATAAATAGAGCGCTCTAATTTTAGCTTATTTCCCTGTAGTGTCACCGACTGTCATAGTGCCGTCACACCCAGTCACACTCGTCACAGCAGCCATCCCTATCATCCACCCCATCTACCGGCTATACTCATGCCAGCCCTTGTCATGCCCGCGCTGACATATACAGTCGTCCTCAAAATTATTCATACCCTTGTTAATTTACGACATATTTTGCTTTTTTGATGAAAAGAAAACATTTTGTCGAGCTTATTTATGATTCATATATGACCAACAGGGGAATGAATAACAGCAACATACAACTGACAAAATATTCAGTTTCATGTGTGTTTTATTCATGAATCTTTGAAAACACTCATGTTCAAAAATATTCATACCCTTGGTTTTCAGAGTTCAGTGTCTTTCTTCAGTAGTCGATAGCATATCCTTTGTTCCTTATTACTGCTTCTAGTCGGTTCCTGTAGGTGCTCACAAGCTTGCCACACGTTTCCTGTGGGATTTTGGCCCATTCTTCCCTGGCGAAAGCCTCCAGCTGGGTCAGGCTAGTCGGTTTCCTGGCCGTCACTCGGGTCTTCAAGTCCCGCCATAGATTCTCTATGGGATTCAGATCAGGACTCTGACTAGGCCACTCGAGGACGCTGATATCATTGTCCTCGAACCATTCCTTGACTACTTTAGCCGTGTGTTTGGGATCATTGTCTTGCTGGAACTTCCAGTTGTTGCCGAGTTCCAGCTTCTCTGCAGATTCCTTCAGGTTTTCGTCCAGAATTTGGATATAGTCCTCCTTTCTCATGGTGCCCTGGATCCTGACGAGGTTTCCTGTGCCGCGGGAAGAGAAACATCCCCACAACATGATGTTTCCGCCCCCGTGCTTGACGGTTGGCACCGTGTTCTTGGGATTGTAGGCCTCTCCTTTACTCCTCCAAACATATGCTGCATCCATGTGCCCAAACAACTCCAACTTCGTCTCATCAGACCACAGGATGTTTGCCCAGAAGTTGGAATCTTGCTGCATATTGCCTCTAGTAAAGGCCAGGCGAGCCTTGCTAGAGGCAATATGCAGCAAGATTCCAACTTCTGGGCAAACATCCTGTGGTTTGATGAGACGAAGTTGGAGTTGTTTGGGCACATGGATGCTGCATATGTTTGGAGGAGTAAAGGAGAGGCCTACAATCCCAAGAACACGGTGCCAACCGTCAAGCACGGGGGCGGAAACATCATGTTGTGGGGATGTTTCTCTTCCCGCGGCACAGGAAACCTCGTCAGGATCCAGGGCACCATGAGAAAGGAGGACTATATCCAAATTCTGGACGAAAACCTGAAGGAATCTGCAGAGAAGCTGGAACTCGGCAACAACTGGAAGTTCCAGCAAGACAATGATCCCAAACACACGGCTAAAGTAGTCAAGGAATGGTTCGAGGACAATGATATCAGCGTCCTCGAGTGGCCTAGTCAGAGTCCTGATCTGAACCCCATAGAGAATCTATGGCGGGACTTGAAGACCCGAGTGACGGCCAGGAAACCGACTAGCCTGACCCAGCTGGAGGCTTTCGCCAGGGGAAAATGGGCCAAAATCCCACAGGAAACGTGTGGCAAGCTTGTGAGCACCTACAGGAACCGACTAGAAGCAGTAATAAGGAACAAAGGATATGCTATCGACTACTGAAGAAAGACACCGAACTCTGAAAACCAAGGGTATGAATATTTTTGAACATGAGTGTTTTCAAAGATTCATGAATAAAACAGACCTGAAGCTGAATATTTTGTCAGTTGTATGTTGCTGTTATTCATTCCCCTGTTGGTCAAATATAAATCATAAATAAGCTCGACAAAATGTTTCTTTTCATCAAAAAAGCAAAATATGTCGTAAATTAACAAGGGTATGAATAATTTTGAGGACGACTGTAGTACCTCAGCTCCTCCCATGCTGGTTCACAATTTGACTTCAACACAAATCTTCATATTCATTACTTCCCTGTTGTGCTTTTTACAATTGTATTTCTATCTTTACCAATATTGCATGCTTTTCGCTTTTGCACGCTCAGGTAGGTAATTGTAGTCCAATCGATCGTTTTTGTTTTGTAGGTGTTTGTTTTCTGTCCCCTGAAATCACTGTGCCGTCTGTTTTTCTGGCTGTGTTTGTGCCGTATTTGTCGCAGTTTTTGACCAGTTTGTCGCAGTGTGCTGTCGAATGCGACTGTGCTGTCAGCCCGTGTCACGAGCCCGTGTCTTTGTTTGGCATGCCGCTGGCGCGCTCCGTAGCCTGCCTCGCGGCTGTTTGCGTGTTCGAGTGCCGGTGTGCGCAGTGTGTTCGTGAGCGTTTGTTAGCCAATCGCACGTCCGCTCCGCCTCCGCGCTATCCGCTATCACGTGCCCCCAATCGGTCTCGCGGACCTGGAACACAGACCTCCGGCGCCGTGTCTCAATCCGTCTCGATCGGGCTCGAACCGGGTCTGCGCTCCCCTGTTTATTCCTCTGTGCCGGTGGACGGCCCAGTCGCGTTTACCGAACCACCGTGCCGTCGTCACGGTCGATTTCGATCGGAGCCACAGGGCTGTATCTGCCGCACATTCAAATTACGTAATGTGAGGTAACGTAACGTAACGATCGAGCGTGAAGGCCGCGGCGTTCTCTTGTCGCTCGGACTTCGGAGCTGCCGCAGCTCGGCTCCGCCGAGAGCTTTTGTTTTCCCACGAGAAAGGCTCCCACTCTCTCGTGCCAGATGATCTCACTAGAGTTCTCATCTCTTGCAGCGCCGTCACGGTAAATGCACGTTTGATTAATACGGGTTTCTGAGTTCTCTACACAACTGTGCGGGGCTGTGCGCTGACTAGCCTTGACGCTCCTCGTCCGCCACCCGTGTGTGTATGTTTGTGCGTGCGTGTGTGTATGCGTTTGCTCTGGCCGTGTGCTGCGTCGCTGCGGTCGGCCGCTCCGGGCCCGCCAGGTGTGCCAACGGCGGTAGATCGTTTATGACGGTGTGTGGCAATACGCGGCCCGCGGCGGTGGACGGTTTGGTACTGGAGCGTGCTCCACGGTCCGTGCGCGGCGTCTGTTTGGGTTCCGGCCCGCCGGAGACACGTAATAAGGCCGCCACGCGATGGCCGAACGCGCGCAGCGGTCCCGACATGGGGTTTTATAGGGTTATGTTCGGGTTGAATCGTTATTTGGAAATCTTTTTTGTGCTTCGATGGAATCTTTTTTAGCTTCATCTACTGTAATTTAGGGTAATTCGAATATCCTTTGTGCTGTCTTTTTCACTTGTCGCAATCATTCGTGCATGCCGAGTAATTTTGTTGTATCTCTCCCTTGTGCCCAGCCAACAGTTCTATGTTTTGTCTTTGCACTCCTTCCGTTCTCCGCCCGTATCGCTTCCCTTTCTCTCTCCCTCTGACCTCGCTCTCCCCCGGCGGCTGTCGCAGCTACCGAGGTGCGCTGCCAGGAGAAGTCTGGCGGTCTGGCCTACGAGGTGATCCTGGCGACGCCGTCAGTGGAGCCGCCCCCGGCCGTCGTCTCGCCGCCGCCCAAGTCGACCCCGACTACCGATGATATCAACAAGCGCCTGCAGGCGGCCGAGGAGCGCAAGAAGGTCAGATTTGTGGGGAGGTTGAGGGAGACGCTTGGAGATGGTGGGAGACGCTGGGAGATGAGGAAGACTGGGAGGTGGTGGGAGACGCTTGGAGATGGTGGGGAGACGCTGGGAGATTAGGAGGACTGGGAGATGGGGAGGGGGAGGGAGAGGATGGCGTGCTGCAGATGTTCGATAAGAGTTTTTATGCCCTGTTTGTTCGCCACTCGCGGAAGCTGGAATGCAATGATGAGGAGATTGGTGCGTGACACGAATATAAAATGAATCTCTGTAGTCGTTGCGAGGCTGGTTGTCGAACCAATCGTTCAATCTGCAAAGGATTCATATAAACGATAATTGGAGTTGTTCACCCTGTCCTACTTTGCTTTTATCGGTAGTTGTAATGGATTATTGACGTATTATTGAAACCGTCTTCGCCGTCTTGCTAGTTCATCGATTTCACAAGCAATATGACTCCATCGCTGCCCCTAAGCTGAGATTAAGGATGGAAGATAAGGTTTCGAACACTTCATGATCTCTCGACCTGACCTCACCTGACCTTTGTTTTCAGCGTCATGATCTCTCGACCTGACCTCACCTGACCTTTGTTTTCAGCGTCATGAGATCCAGCGGCAGGCCTCCATGACGGACAAGCTGGCTCGTATCGAGGAAGCCAGCAAGAAGCGCGAGGAGGCCGACCACCTCTTCATCCAGCAGGCCCGCGAGCAGCTCGAGCAGAAGATGGACGCCAACGTCAAGAACCGCGAGAACATCATCCGCAGCATGCAGGAGAAGCTGAAGGAACACGTGAGTGAGAGGCGGGAGCATGTCGCTAGGCCTACCGTCGGACTGCACTGCCGTCTGCCGGACGGCAGTAGAATTGTGCACCGCCGCCTGGTCTTAGAGTGCAGTATACCGAGGGGCTTCGGATCCGCGTCTTAGATTCGTTAGTATGATGTAATTGAAAAGACTGTATTGCTGAAATAGTTAAAGGTTCAGTAAAGAATTCACGATCATGTGATCCGAAGCCCTCATTAATTTATATTGCATGCCTTTTTCACTAGCAACCGGCTTTTTACTGCGTCGGTGTTTGAATTTGTTTGTTCATATCATGCCGAAGCACCTCCGTTAGTCTCATTTCGCTTATTATTGCAGCGAGCTAAGTAATGTCTGTATCGTCCTTTGTTGGCCCGTACCGCCGCTCCCCGGCCCGTCGCCTGGCGGTTGGCACCAGTACTTACGTTTGGTCGTTTGGCCGCTGGATGGCGCAGCTGGAGCAGGTGGAGGCCGTCCAGAAGAAAACTCGTGAACAGTACGCCGAGCTGGCCGCCTCGATCAATGAGAAACAGAAGGGCGCAGAGGAGGCCCGCGATGAGTACATCCGCAAGACGCTCGAGAAACTCAAGGAGAAGGTTAGCACAAAGCAATAAACGGGGATTGAGACAGGACGCTCTAAAAGCGTCAATTTAAGATAGGCACTTACCCAAATCTGGTGACCCTACGTCTGTTCTACAAAGTTGTAGAGTTGTAGGTTGACTTGTTTATAAAATATTATTTTGCTTTTTTGTTACCGTTAAATAATAGGCCCACTCTTTAGTTTATATTTCCTACAAATCTTTTTCTGTAGTCGCGCCTCCGGGCTGGACGTAGTCGATTCCCGAGGTCTCTCCCGGCCATGTCTCGGCCGCCGCTCCGTCCCACCATCTAACTATCCACCTAACCGCCGCCGTGGTGTAGGAGGAGCAGGGTGAGAAGGTGCGCGCTGCCCACATGGAGCGCATTCATCAGCTCAAGACCAACATGGACGGATGGGAGGCCAAGCTGAAGGCCGCCGAGGAGAAACGCGAGAAGGAAATGCAGAAGAAGGTGGAGGCGCTTCATGAACATGTGAGACGAGTTGATAGTCGGGCTGGGCTGCTGGGGTGATGTCTAGTTTAGGGAATGGCTGTATGAGGCATGGGACCACTATGGTGCCTGGATTTTTGGGATATTTTGTTATGACAGTTGGTTATCTGAAGTTACATATGTGTTGGGTTAATTCGGATCACTTCAGACATCCTTGCAGCTAAGTGAAGGTCAATGCATGAGATAGTCTGCTGTTGCTTTTGTGTGATCGTTTTATCTCGAGCCTTGCAGTGCTATTGATGGTGTTATGCACGTATTTTCACCCTTGCGGTCACGCTGTAATACAATAGCTGCACTGTATTCATATTCTGTCCGTAGCACTTAAATTTCATTCACACACCCGACCACAATTATTTTCTTCTTTTATCCGATCATTGCATTGTTAGTGACTGTAAGGTCCACCTCTTGGACTTCCTTTTTTCATTGCCTTCATGTGTCCTATTAAACTTAAACTCTTCTCTCATTGGTTATTATAAATGTTTCTAGGGAAAATTGGTAGCATATCTTCCAATCTCTATCTCTTTCTTTCTTCTGACAAAATGTCTGTTCTTGATGTTTTCTTTCACCACTACGATACTACAGATTTGCGACAGCGATCAAAACCAAACAGTAATTACCCCTGATCTGACCGATGACCTTGCCCATCTCCTGTGTCACCCAGAACACGGTGAAGCTGCAGTCTGCGCAGCTGCAGGCTGAACAGAAGGTCACCGAGCTGGCCAAGCGGGTGGAGGAGACGCTGCCCGAGAAACTGGCCAGTGCTGAGCAGCGCCGCCAGGAGGGCATCGGAAAAGTGGTCGAGAAGGCCCGCGAGGAGGTGAGAAAGGGATAGGGGGCTTTATCAGGGGGGGGGGGGGATGGTACATTGAGCGTCATAAGGAAGTACGGCATTTGGACTTGCAGAGGGCCCCAAACCGCTACAGGGGCGACTCTTTGGGTGCCAGGTTTTGCTTGGCTTTCTTCAGTCGTTCATTGCCTTAAAAAGGCTACGTATCATTCATGTTTACTTCTTGTTCAGTCTAATGCGTGCTCCTGAATTATTTTGTAATTATTCAATTAAATGGTTGTTGAGATCCTGCCCCCACCCGACCTGACGCGACCTGACCCAACTTCACCTAACCTGGCCTGACCTGACTCGACATGACTCGACCCCACCCAACGTGACCTGACCCGCCCCGCCCGCCAGCTGAGCAAGGTGCCGGTGGTGCGCTCCAACATGGAGGAGTCGGTGAAGATGCACGAGAACAAGGTACAGGAGCTGGTTCAGGCCAAGCTGGAACAGGCCGAGGAGCGCCGGCTCGAGCTCATCGAGAAGCAGCGCGAAAAACTCAAGGAGCGGGTACGTCTCGCGTCCGCGGATTGCGGTGTAAAAAGGGGAGGAGGGAAAGAAGGAATGAGTTGTGGAGTTAGAGACTAGGTTGAACATTGAGGAAGATGGGTTTAAATATGGGAAAATATGCTTAAGTTCTCTAAGTAGCCTTCTTAACAGTGCCAAACGCTGCCGCATTTGGGGAACTTTTGCGTTAGCTTTGGGTGTAGTGATTGCAGGAAGATGTGTTAGCATTGATGCGGTTAAGCCGCTTAAGTGTCAACCATTTGTGAATGGTTTCTCCCACGAAAGGTTGCGTGCGAATTCAACCTTTGTTACTGCGTGGCGGCTGCATACTCTCTAAGGGACTTTTTTAAGTCCTTGCAATGTCCCTGTTCGTCTTTTCCGCGCTAGGATCGTTAATGTCTGCGTGACCCCTGCCCATGACCCCTTGCTGACTCGCTGAGCCTGGGCGACCTGAGACCTCTGACCCTCGTGTTATCTTCTGACCCTGTGCGACCTCGGCTGACCTCTGGCTGACCTCTGACCCTCAGGAGCGTCGCGGCGAGGCGGTGCGCCAGAACAAGCCTGCCCAGCCCGTCACCCCTGAGGAGGAAAGCCAGTAAGAACGTCCGTCCGGATCGAAACACCGGACATCTCCTACCGCTCCCCGCTCTATCCCGCCTCCCCTCCTCTCTCCCTAATAAATCACCCACGAAAAACCTATAAAAACACCAACGATCTCTAGTCATAGATGTCCGCCGGAGCTGGTCGGCCTTGTTTGTCCGAAGTTTATCGCTTACCGTCGACCGAGGACCGCTCGCTGGGTCGTCTCTTGACGCGCTGTTGCCTTTCGCTGTGTGTACATAGCACCGTTTTCCCCTGGCTGCCCTGCCGAGGCGCTCGCGACCGAAGGAAGAAGGATCTCTGAGCGGGCGCGTACCGGGCGGATTCGCCGGCGGCCGCGCGGACTGAGTGTGACTGAACTGAGAGGACTGTGACTGGGCAGTCACACGAGTGACTGGGTTCTGAGCCGCACCGGGCAGGCGCGAGACTGAGTGATGACCGAGCTATGGATGTGATGGGCCCGCTGCCGAGCGCCGCGAGTGTGGTTCGTGATGTGTCTGCGCTGGATGACACCGCGCTAGTGTACCGTGTCGAGTGCTTCGGACCGCCTGCGTAGCTCTGACATTATTTTTGCACTATTCTGTTGATAGACGCGACGTGTCAACATAGAGTTCACATTAATACGTAGGGTAAGGACTGCTGTTTGCGCCAACATGTGAAATATAAGGTGTAAACGAAACTGTCTTCTGAACTACCGTTCGGGACAGTTATGGACACAGGGTTACGCGGATGACACACGGGGCGACTCCACCTGAGAAGTGATGGGGACACCACGAACGAGTAGGTAACCAAGACGAATGCAACACTGATGTAACGGCACAAGAGTAAACGGGATGGGCGGGGAGGTTTGGAAGAAAGGAATGGCAGGGAGGAAAATCTAAGGAAAATCTTTCGGAAGGAAGACTAGGCTTGGGAGGAAAACTAACGAGGGGTATAAACGTTGCGAGTTTATGTGCGCATCAAAGCAAGGATTTTGCGCTCGATTCTAGCAAATGGGTGTTGTCACAGCCGAAACCGAATCGTGCATGATTCCAAACCCTCCGCATTGCAGGAGATTTCGAGCTCAGTACGAAAATAAGAGCGCAGTCGCAGAGATCATTGTCTCAAAATTACACTCAAGTCCATTCAATAAAAATTCACTTCAATGCCAATGACTAAGAGAAGCCTGAACTGCAATTGACTTCACCAGACCTCTTTTTTTCGTTGATGAGTATTGTGTGCTCCATTCCATCAGCCATGACGTCAAAACATCAACACACTGGCAGGGCCTCGGCAAGTAACATTTATTGCATTTAATTAAACCAAACAACGTACATAGTCTCCATACTGTGCTACGGCGCAGAGTACCACAATACCAGGGACGTCCATTTGCAAGCCAGCAAACGCTGCCACCCAGAAAACTCACAAAGGCGGGACACATGACAGAATACGCCAGCAGGACATACCCGAGGACCCGGGTCTAGGCGACTCTTGACTATGGCAGGATACGTGCCGGGGCGGACTGCTTCGTCTTTGGGCTGACGGGCATGGTTAACAACAGCACACATCGTAATCGTACGGTAGTTTAACGACAGGTTAATGTCGAAGCGATTCTCCAGGCTTAACATTCTTTTTTTCGAAAAGAGATCCGTACAATGAGTGACACAGATGGCCTGAAGAGCTGACAGTTCATGCATCTGAAGAAGACGATCCCCTTGAACGGCGCAGAATTGAAAAGCGCATTTAGCGATCAGAATCAGGGCGCCAATCTGAAGCGCTACCCTCCCAAGCAAGACAATACATGAAAGCGACAATGCTGGATATTGGTCAGTGTCAGAAAGACAAAAGAAAACATATGCCAATGATCAGATGAACACTACGTTTAGAACGCTCCGACCAGCAATTACGTTACAAGTTATACATTATACAATGCACACTACAAGTAGTGGACCAAAAAACAGACAGGGCCACAGCAAGCAGGAAACTGCCAAAAAGTTCCCCGAAGTCTTGGTTAAAACATAATTTAACGCGTCTAGGATAGACAGTGCGCACTTTGAACGAGTTATGGCTCACATAAATGGGTAGAGCAGCTCCACTTTCGCATTTTACGAAAGCAGTGGCGAGGCAGGCAATAGATGAACCAGTGAGTTTACCAATGCTCAAGCACAGAGAGTCTGGCATAGGATACAAGTGGTCGTAAGCATGAATTATTGAAGGTGGCAGGAACCATCATTTACAAAGTAAATCATATTTTTGCGAGCCTTGGCCGAACGAGGTTTTACAGCACAAATCATCTGCCATGAATGTTTGACGAAAGGGGCATCTGCCAGGCATTGCTCGGAACTCGTACTTTGCATACACTACAGATACGGGTGTCATCCCTCCTTTGAGGAGACCGGCGTTCGATTCCAGCCTCAGCGTCGTGCTTGGACCGCCGAACGACGGTAGGGGGCCACGACAACGGGGCCTCGCATTGGGCACTCACTCGGTGTGAAATCGGCAGACGCGGCGCGAGCGCTCTGCCGCGACCGATCTGGACTCGCCAACTCCTCAATTGTCTCCGTCCCTCTCTCCTCTGCTCCTATGTCTCTCTCTCCGGGTCGTCGCGCACACTACTCCATCTCCGAGGGCCGTCCCATCATGTAGTCGATGTAATTGAGCAGGCCGGACAGCCGCGAGCCGACCGTCTCGCGATCGGTTGTGGCACAGCCGGTCACGATGCTGGAGAACGTCTCGTCCACCAGGCCGTCCCCGTTCAGGGTGCGTACGTAGGTCTCACACCTGTGAAAGACGAGAACGGGATGTAAGTAAGAGGGTTACCTTAGATACACAGGGACACATGACACTGCGAAGATGGGTATGTGGCGTCCTCTATCCATGCAGCTAACTGACTTCAGACGCTCGCGGGTCATAAGTGGGACTGAGCGACGAGACACCCTTAGGGACGAGACTTAACTGTCTAACACAGCACTGATACTGTTACCACATTTCCGCATGCCGCGACAAGTGAATATGCTGATATCTTGCGGCCCCAGATGGTCCAAATAGACCCTAAACTTTACCCTTACTTTTCATCCCACTCAAAATAAACCAGTTTCATGCACAATACATGCCCAATTCACGGAACAAAGAACGTCCCGACATTCCATGGCGATCAGTGAGTCATTACGGACTACCTATCAGGCGTGTGTCGGGTTCTGTGAGTCACTACAAAGTACAAGCTCTCACAAAACTCACTCGAGTCTGACCTGTGCCAGGTCCTGTGAGTCACTCATGGCTGAAAATAAGACCTTTTTCTGGTCTCAGTCGGATCCAAAAGATTTTGGTCTCCTTTGCAAATGTATAATGCTCTGGTACCTAGAATATGCTTAATTTTTCTATTCTGTATGATGAAAAACTTATTATTACATCTAAAAAAAGAAATAGCATTGGAAGAGACACATTTTATCAGTTACCACAAAAGTAGGCCAAACATATGGTTTTGCAGTTGGTTAACCAAAAAGCTGGCCTGTTCTCCGGGCATATTTTATTATCCGGCACCAGGACCAAAAATAAAATTCCAACACTGCACGAGCTAACAAACTCACTTGAGTCTGGCCTGGGCCGGATCCTGGCGAGTCACTACGAGCTAACAAACTCACTTGAGTCTGGCCTGGGCCGGGTCCTGGCGAGCGGTGAGCACCAGCTGGTCGATCCAGTTGTTCACCATGTGCAGCGCCACCTCCTGGTCTGGCTCGCGGGCCGGGTCGATGTTGATCTCGACACCCAGACACTTCTGCACGAGGCTTTCACAGGTGGCGGACACCGTCTCCTTGTCCCCTGTGGGAGGAAGGGGAGGGGGAGGGGTCAGCTGCCGTCCTACTGTTGCCAAGCACTACCCCAGATAACGTAATGTCGCGAATTGGTGAATGATTTCGATACACTGAAAATCACATCGTTATGATCTCCCGATCATCAACGATCACCAATATCATGAGAAGTATGCAAATATGTCAAGTAGTTGTGGTTATGACTAATATTACATAACAAACCAGACGACCGAATTAAGCTCATTCCGAAAAAAGTGACTCAGAAAAACGCAGACCTTCTAAGCTGCGCTTTAGTCACGATGGAGGAGTACGGACACCAAAATAATAGTGGTGGTATATATTTAGTTTGATCGAGCATTGCTTAGACTGATAACAAACCAAGTAGTACCAATTGTAGCGAAATCTCGCGGAAAAGGCATTCAGAGATACAAAACCGACTAATTGAAGCCCGATACATACGCTCCTCTGATAGAGCCGGTAGGTAGCAAATAATAAATATGTTGATAAGAATCAATCACGTGAAAATCCCGGTGATACATCCGGTAAGAAAGAATAGTCTATTGATCCGAGTCGACCATTTGAAAATCCGTCTGCCCAGACAAATTGGTTAACTCAACGATGCCATTATCGAAGCCGTTCACTTGTAACAGACCTCAAATCGATGATCACGCCGAAAACGGTAGGTAATACCTATCTTGTTTCGCAATCAACGTTTTCCAGCGCTGGAGAGAACCTGCCTGGTGTAGTATTATCCAAATGCTGAACAAACATAGTGGCAGCTGTTTTTGTAGTCAGTGTCATATAGTCTGAAGCTAAAAAAGCTTTTGACTTGCATTGATTTAGTGTTATGGGGCGCACCAGCAACGAGGCTATTGCAACCGGTCCGGTCTTCTAATGACGACAGTTTCAATTAGATAGCTTTGCATTGTTGGAAGATTTTGACCATTCACCGAAAATCCGCGATGTTTTTTTTTCAATACCACACTGGCAAAACCGCGATACCGGTAGCACCAACAACGATTAGCAGCATGCAACGGGAACGAGACAGCGATCGTATATAACATTTGCGGCGCATTACCTTCTAGTTGGATCAAACCAACTTAACCAACCAATAGTAGGCACGGCGGTCAGTGCGTGCCGACATCGTGCTCCGTTACATCTGAATCACGCCCGGTCGCGGCTGCCAAGTGACCTTGGGCCATCGGTCGCTGCCGTTTGTGGCGCACTCCGAGGTCCAATTTTGGTCCGACTGCAGACGGCGGCTCCGTATGGTCCGGGCGGTCACCAATTCGGTGCCGATTCTCGAGATTACGGCAATGTTCGACGTGCTTCATGTTCAAATGGCAACAAGAATAGATGGACTGGGAGTGGGCAGGGGAGAAGGGACAAGCTTCGCCAGGAGGGATTAAGACTTTTAGTCTGGTCAAATGTGTCAAATGTTATATAAGATGGGGGATTACCAGTCACAGGTGATTACCGGTCACAGGTGATTGCACCGGATAACGGGCACCCCGGCACCAGGCTCGCAGGCCAAGGGTATAGCTCAATGTGAATTGTGAACTGTGAAGTGTGTACAACCCCAAAACATAGGCTAGTTAAAATGTAAGATGATGTCATTGCTGGACAAGTCATCAAATTGTGAACCAGCAATATCCTAATGGGCCTAAACCAGCTATATGGTCAGTGCCTGTGAAAACTGAAAATAATATCCAAAGATGCTCAATAATGGTTTATGATTCATCCAACAAACAACTCACTGGGTTCCAGTCCCTGGACGTTCTCATCATTCTGCAGGATCAGCAGGGTGCCAATCAGGTTGTCTCGTTCTGCCTGGATGCGGCGCGTGTCCTCCACCAGGGCATCCACCTGATGCTCCACCAGCTCCATCATCTGCTTCAGCTGTCCGCTGACGCTGCGCGGATCACCGCTCACAGCAGATGCTTCCTCAGGCTCCATTGCTGACTGGTGCAAACTGTGGAGGGTAGCTAGGTCACATTACTTACAAGCTCCAGGCTGCATCACTTTGCCACTATTGGGCAAGCACATAAGTTGGTAATGACGTAATTACTTCAGCGCAATTAGAGGACATCATGGGATCTGGAACATCATAAACTGAAGCAGATCTGTGAGCAACAATGAGTGACAAATGAATAGTGAAGCTGGCAAAGAAAAAGCCAGGGCCACCAGTGCACCACACCCTTATGACTGGCGTGGCGTCGGTGTAGCTATTCATGCCATCTGCCGAGCGTTGGCGGGCACAACAGGCTACACCAACACGATATTGGTCACAAGGGTGTGGTGGCGCACATTAATACTTGCGCCAAACATGCAATACCTCTCTTCAGCTCCCAGATTGACTGAAAAGTTAGAATCTCAATATATCTGTAGTGTAAAACATACCGCCAAAACCCGTTCGTTTATCAGCTACCTACCACAGTATGAGTAAATAGCCCTTATCTTAACAACACACAGATCGGAGTTGGACTCGGTACTCACCTTAACAACCTGAATCGATCTAAATAAATCTGAGAAATCTCTCCTTATTAAATAAAGTCGATCAACAGATATCCGGCGCCACCCGTGAAAACAAACCGAACACTCGCGAGCAAATGATCGACGCTTTGCCAAGGCCCATGTAATCGAAAACATGTGCCCCGCGTTCGATGTCTCTCGGACGACGAAGATTCTACGTCGTCCGGCCAATCCCGTCCAAGGTCAGTGGGGGCTCGGCTGCGGTTATGGAACGTGATTGGCCGGACGGCGCAGAATCTTCGCCGTCCGGGAGACATCGAACGCGGGGGTGGTTTTGGTCTCGTTAAATCTCGATATTTCTATAAATGACGTCATCAACAAACGTTGGGCAAGAAAAACTAGAAAAACATCTTTGATGTGATTTGATTCACACAAAAAATGTAATAATATAGTCAAAAATAATTTGAAAAATTTAAGAATTTAAAAAATAACCACAAGCTAGTAATACATCACTTATTTTCAATTTTATCCTTAATATCTTCTCTTTTGGCGCCTTTGAGACATTGACCGGCGCTATTTTTTCTTTGCATTTGCTGCAGGTACATACATACACAAGCCAAATTTGCAAGTTAGTTTGGAAATATACTTGTATATGAAAATTTGAAAATATATACAATTTTTACATTAGCTTCAAAAGACAAAAGGAAGCCAGGAATTATTTTTTAGCGGCAAGCGACTGGAAGGAGGTCCGATTGAAGCGAGGTCTGCCGTCCGCGACAGAGGTTCCTCACTTCTCAGCACATATCAGTAGGCGGAACTATGGTCAAGCGTACCCATTTTCGGGAACGCATTTTCGTTCCCATGTTTGGGAACGATAAACCCAAATATGGGAACGCCATGTAGGCATTATTTAAAACAAGAAAAAGAACCGTTAAATGACGTCCAAAAAATATAAAACGATCGTGAACCGCCTGATAATTGTCTCAATATTGTTGGGAAAGAGTTTGATATTGTAAGGCCCATCGTAGTTTCAAATCGTTCCCCTATTTCTAGAGAGGTCCATCATCCGGGCCGCGAGCCCAAATTTGGGAACGCTCTCGTACACTGGCGCTGCAAGCGTTCCTTATTATGGGAACGGCGTACCCAAAATTGGGAACGATTTCACCGACGCCTTTCAGGGGCTCTTTTCATTAACAAGCATCACGTCCAACGCCGCAAATTATTGTTAACGCAACAATCATCAGATGACCTTTCCGGCAAGACCGTCGCATGTTTCGCCCGGTCTTCTGCGCTTTTATTCCCGTCGATCTCGCAGCGGGCACGCCCCCCTCTGCAGGATTACGTAATTCACAACGCTCAGCGATGTTCAACAAGGTCTTCCATACCTATATCCACCGTTCGCGCCGAGGGTGGAGACATGTCAAGCACCTGTCTGTTTATCACCGATAGTTGACGAGCACAAGGAAGTATCCAAAAATGGGAACGCTGAATATGTTCCACCCTCAAAACACCTAGTCCCAATGAAAATCTAGTTTTTTCCTTTCTTGATGAGTTGAAGTTGTTGAGCATTAGTGAGCTGTAGTAGACTAGGTCTATTCAATGCTCACATCGAGCCGGACTAGGAAATGAGCCATAAGGTCAGTTGTGGCGTGAGGATGCAGGTTTGGCAGCCCTGTGTTGGTCTAGTCTTCGTTTGAACATGTTTGTAGAAGTAGCCTCCACCACATCTCTAGGCAATCCGTTCCAGTCATTAACTACTCTGTTTGAAAAGAACTTCAGCCTGTATAGATGACTTGATCTGCCTTTTTTCAGCTTCAGATGATGCCCTCTCGTGCGGTCTTCATGGTCGACTTCAAAGAACTGATCACTGTCCACCTTAACCTTCCCTGTCAGGAGCTTGTATGTTTCAATGAGGTCGCCTCGACGCAGTCTGTCTTCTACGCTAAGAAGTCCAAGACTGCGGAGTGTAAGTGGCAAAAGGCCTGGTAGGATGGGCACGAGGAATGATCGAAATCAGCATAAAAATTATAAATAAGCCACACAGAGCGACCTACATAAGAGAAATTCCCCCAAAACGATCCCGCTTAGAAACACGGAAGACAAAAACCACGCTCATAACGCTCCTTATAAAACAACTCTAAACAGCTAGCATCCAAATAAAATATGTCTTTCTGGGATGATAAAATACAGCTGAATAATTTTAAACCACTGAAACTGAGTTTACAACAGTAGCTCGGTAAATTCACTCACGTTCCACGCGGTCGTCCGCCCCGACACAAAAGTCAACAATATTACCTCGGGACCGTCCGCGTCTTCGCTTGCATTTGTCAGCATCTGGTGTCGCTAGTATGAAACTTCATAACCAGGCGAAAATTATTATACTTGACCTCAAAATGTAAAAAACGCTTCATTTTCCTTAAAATTGCAAGTTAAATGTAGTATAACCCATGTTTTCACCATTCCGTCACTTCAAAAAATCATTAAAAATATCATTCGACGGTCAATTTCCTTGTGCAACGGTCAGATTAAAGATAATTTTATAGAGACTTAGTAGATACTTAAATTAGCGTGCACTTTTTTGAAACGTGATGCACTAATGAGTTTTAGTGGGCGAACGGCCGAAAAATTACCTTCCGTTCCCATAAATGGGAACGCCCGTTCCCATATTTGGGAACTCTGTTCCCAAAAATGGGAACGTTCCTATATTTGGGTACTCATGACCATAGTTCCACCTACTGATATTTATATTGATATGTAAGCTGCAGTGAAAATGCCAAAATTAGTGGCAATGTCCAGTGTCCACATAGTGAGCTGTCGCACGTTTGATACCAATGAATAGCGTTGAGAGCTGTCACAAAGGTGCAGTAGTTGAGCCTTAACAATGTCCATCCACGCACTTTCGCGTTTGTTTCATAATCACCAGTATAACGCCTTATGGGCGACTAACGGAGCGAGCGAGAGGGTGAGCCTTGCACGTGCGAAATTTCGAGGGGGTACCTCCAGCTGACTTGTGCACGGCACCCTACTAACCGGTCTCTAGCGATGTGTCAAATTTGAGCACAATCGGCCAAGCCGTTCTCGAGATCTGGAATCGGCACCCTGCACGTGCGCACGTGCAAAATGGGTCCCAACTGACTTTTGCACGGCACCCTACTAACCGGTCCCTAACCATGTGCCAAATTTGAGCGCCATCGGTCCAGCCGTTCTCGATATTTGGAATCGACCCCTGCACGTGCGCACGTGCAGCAGCACCCCAACTCTGGCACGTGGATATGCATTGCCTAGTGGGTGCCTACCTACATGCCAACTTTCAGCGCAATCGGCCAAGTAGTTACCGAGATATTGCAACAATTACAAAAGTGACACCTCTTCGTTTTGCACGTGGCACGTGCATAAGGGGTCACCCACATGCATCGGCAATAGTCCAATACTTGGTAGAAGGAATGAAGCTACCCTACAAAAATTACCGCGTGTAAATCGGTCAAGTGGTTGCTGAGATATAAGCCTCGCAAAAGCGTGACCACGGCCGGCCGGCCGGCCGGCCGCTCATACTCAGAAATTTCCGTTAATCTAAGGAAAGACTACGCTCGCTTCGCTCGCTCCGTAATTAGCAAGTCTCGGGTGAAAGCTCTCCAGGCTAGTACTCCCTGATTTGTCACTTCACACCTGCACACCTGGGATGTGCCCTGCACTCCCGTGATTTGTAATGTGCGACTGAATAAGGCTAGCCGAGGCCTCGACCTCGTGCACGCCAGAGTTCTTGTTGAAACTTGCCATGTTTTGCAGTATGAATCATGTGGAAGTAGAGCATGTAATAATCCATTATGCGCAATTGCTGAATGTATTTGTAGCTTAACCACATTTGTTATCAACATGTTCAAAGCCAATGGTGTTTCACATTGGATGGCTCATTTGAAATACTACCTATGGTCTTGTAATAAACCTTTTTCAGGCGGCATTAGATGGTGACACCACTGATGGTGCCTCGAGACACAGTACCGACAATGTCCAATGTGAAAAACTCTCCAGCCAGTTTCAAGACTCTAAGCCCTGTCCAGTGTCATCAGGGGCTGTGGTCGATCATGTAACATGTAGTCTGCAACATGGATGGAAGCATAGACCTCATGCCCTCATTAGGTAGGCATGTCAGTACATAATACATATCCCATAGAAAGTTATATGATAGATAAGACGAGCTTCTGCTCGGCATCGCTACTTTTGCTTGGTTTCGAGCGAGGCATATCATGATATGATATTCGTACCGCAGATACCGACAGTTTCTCACAATCCCGCTTTAAACAAGCTAAATTATGGTGGTATGGGTTCTTCTCGGTAATCTTTTTACTCTTATTCGAACATTTTCAATGAACAGATTAGGTAATGAAACTGGAGCCTGTGCTTAGCAAAGCTTGACCTGTATCGTCTGATCGATAAAATCCGGTTATGGTGTGCATTTTGTAGCCAAATTTTTAAGTTTTCTACCATGCTCCCTGAAGAACGTGATCTTCCCCACTCCTTGGCTTGATTTGATATCAACTAGCCTCAGTAATACCTATCAGAGTTTTCCATAGTTAACCAGGTACTGGAACGACCCGAAGCCGTGCTCTCACGACCGGTAGTACGATGCTCCCCCAGCCGAGCCACGAAACGGTCTAGCCTGACGACGACTCCATAGATCCCAGGGACTGGTTTTAGGTTCACCCGGGTCCACTTGGCAGGGGGAACAATCACATGGAGAGCATCAGCTGACTTCGGTGGGCATACCAGCTCATGCTCGCCAGTTGTAGGCCTGTTTGATCTTCTCTTGTAAAGCCGTCGGTCGTCGCAACCATGTTGGTAAAGCTCGGTTTGTCCTCTTCAGTGGCGAACAGTGTGCAGTTAGCTGGAAGGTTTCCTGTAACTGGTCTGCTCTAAACCAGCAGGGTCCGGCTGTGACGATCCGGCCAAACTCGGTGTGTCTTTCATGAGTCCCCAGGCCCGCCACCACTCCAGCTGCTGTTGAAGCTGCCCTAGGAGGTTCTCTGCTGCTTTGACGGCCGCTTCCGCCCTCCTGTTTGAAGGTAGCCTGTTGAGGACAACTCATAACGGAAGTGTCTGTTTTTGACGAACGGGAAAGACAAGCTTTGGTACCCCGCCCCTGCAGGTTACGTTGGGTGTTCCCCGTATCACAGATAGCTGTCAGTTTGCCGGCGAGGGTGTCATGACCAGATCAGTGACACACATCCTTCCGGAGGAGAAATCTGTTTACAGCTACGATTTACATCCTGCAAGCGCTATCGTTGAGTCTGCAGAGTTCGGGAAATTTTTGTCGCATGTAGGTTCTTTGTATGGTTGCTGTGCATATGCAAAATCGTTTATCTTGCTTTGAGCGCCATTGATTTGTCACAAAAACATTGGTCATTTACTTCATATTTCTTTCAGATTTTTTTTTTCAAGATGGCGTCTTTTCCTTGCAAAGGAATGCTCAATTTCGGAATTCTTCGCGCCAGGAACCTGCGGACTTGGTATGAACAATTTATCTTTGCTCTTCTTCGATAAAGATATGTTGTGTGGAGTAAAATTACAAACCTGTCGTTCATTTAGTTGTTTTGTTAATTTTGTCAACTCATTTTAAAGCTGATTGTTTATAAACGGATGGTGCCACTATGCCACTATTATAGTTGCGGCTTAGTCTTTTACTGGAGTATGGACTCACCAATTACGTTCAACATTCAAGATGACGATCGCCTGTGATCCATTTTGTACGGATACCTAATTCACGATGAATGCATGCTTATGCATATCTTTCATTTTAACATAATAATATGCTGTTTCTCCACAGCTCCAGGCTAAAACTGCACACTGCACAAAATAAAAGAAGAGCTGCTGCCGAGTCTACAACACAGCAGGCTCAGGCAGCTGACGATATTGTCATCCCTGATTACATCGAAAGGTCACCCACCGATATTCTAAAGGCAAGTCTCTCACGTTTCTTAGTCGAATCAAACGTGCACCTTCTCTGCTATTAGCATTGACAATTGATCTAGTTTTGTCTCATTAAACCATTGCTAGTTCACTTTAGGTCACATTGTTCTTACCATCCGACTTGTTTCGAACCCTATGCTGCGCTGTTCTGACTGTGCTTATTCCTTCGTTCCAGGCCCTAAGCTCAACGGTGGGCCGAGACCTGACGGCATCTCACTTCAAATTCCACGACGACCCGTACCTGATGCCGCGCTCCAACCCGGATAAGCGGCAGTTCGCGCTGTCTCAGGAGGCTGGCCGTAATGCGGCTCGCTGGATCCGCGACCACAAGCCCGAGCTGTTCAGCCACCAGACTGCACAGCCCTTCTCGCAGGTGTGTACCGGGAGCCCGCTCGGAGTTTGTGGGTACTCCGCATAGTGAAGCTCCTGTTAATCTTTTCAGTAAAATGGTGTCCTTATACAGGCGGTGGTGTTGCGTTGCGTTGGATTTTCGAACCGGTATAACAATTTTCATTCACTTATACCTATTCAGGGCTTGTTAGTTGTTTTGAATTCCTTTCCCAGGGTGGGTGTGCAATTTACCTTGAAGTGCGTAGGTGTACGGTTATTTCTCGGCTTACGAATCCACCTGCTGTAGACGTACAAAGTGCTCACCCACAGAGCGTGTCCCTGATTGCGCCTCTACCTACTGACCTGTGACTTGCGGCAGGCGTACGCCTCAGTGTAGGTGTCCCCCCGGTTTGTATCCCTGAGCGCGCCCCTGCCGACTGACCCGTGATCTGCGACAGGCATACAAAGTGTCCTCCCGAAGTGTGCGTCCCTGAGTGCGCCCCTGCCAACTGACCCGTGACCTCTGGCAGGCTTATGCCCCGGTGGAGGTGTTCGACTCGGACTCGGCCGTCTCTGAGGAGACTCTGCTGCGACTCATTGACGAGGTGCGCGTCTCGGACGCCGTCACCGTCTACCGAAAATTGGCCGCCGAGAACGCCGGTAAGTACTGGCTCAAACTGGCCGCCGAGAACACCGGTAAGTACTTGTTTAGAGTGATGCTAGTGCAGTTGGGGTTATTGGGACTTATAAGAGCTAGGTACCCGGCTGCCTAACGATGCTTTTGTTAAGATGCTCACAATGTTCTTTGTTTTATAGATCGTGGCTCGTAAGACAATCCAGGTTTGTAAGGCACTATCATTTTTTTCAGGTGAGCCAGTGCCCTCAATGACCACCATAATCTTGCTGTATAACCGGCCGCCTCTGTTTGCTAGAAACACATGCCAACACCGCACACTCTGCGGCCCCTCCATCACCCGGGCAGGTCATCCACAGCCTGAACCGGTCCACCACCTAACGGACCGGCTCATTCAGTTCCCGGACTGGTCCTTCATTTGTGTGATATTTTTGGGAGGGGGCAAGTCGGCCGCTTCAGCCAAGGTAGGTTTTCAAGCGCCCTGGCCCGTCCACCACCCGGTGCTGACCCGCCTCGCCGTTTCCCTCCGTCAGAGCTGAGCCGGGAGACGCGTCAGGCGCTGCTCGAACTGCTCTGCTACCACAACTGTGACGACACTCTGGCAGAAGACCGGATCGAGGAGCGATGGTTCGCCAGCACGGCCGTCGCCACAAAAGTCCGAAACACCTGGAAGTGAGTAGGAGCGGGCTCGGAAGATGTATTGGTATGAGGTGGCGTGGTACGGGCTTGTAGCGTGTAGTGTAGGACGTTTAGGATGCTTAGGATGTCTGTGTAGGATGCTTCATATGATGTTTTATGAAATTGAAGAAGATTCAGCGACGAAGAACATAGAGCTAGTGTAAACAACACAGACTAACTAGGTGCTTTATCCAAGCCATGATCGAAAGCACGAGGCTGCGTATTTATAAGCTATGGATTCTTAGTCACTGCGTTTACAACAGCACCTGACTGCTGCCCGGCTGCCACTGGGGTTTTGCGTCGGTCCAGAATAGTCGGGTCCCATCACAAAACATCGTCGTTTGCGCTTTCACACTCCATTCTGTGTGTCCCTCGCAGAGATAACGGAGTAGCCGAGGAGGTGTTTCGGAGTCTGGAGCCGCTGGACGCCCGCGCCTACAACACACTCATCAGGGGGATGGCCAAGTACCACCAGGTCAGTGGGTGGAACTGTTGTGTCATCTTTTGTCGGTTCTCAATAGCTAATCGGCAGCTAGGGAAGAAGTGACCTATCGGGATACGATAGATGAATTGATAAGTGGTGAATTTTGTGTTATTTTAAGATAATAAAGATCTGTGACTGCCAAATGGGAATTCTAGATGAAATATGACCATAAATATTCAGGCACGAGTAAGCATAAAGTTGTCCTTCGTTCATTGTCTCGCCTGCCTGAAGAATGCGTCCCATCGTTGCTGTCTAGTCAGCACGGTTAGAAGCGCTGATGTCCTGGTCTACTTCCACAAGGCTGATCGCGCAAAGAAGACGTGGGACGAGATGCTGAACCAGGGCTTGAAGCCCGAGCTGGAGACGTACAACCACATGATCAGCATCGCCAGCTTCGTGATGGAGAGCTCGCAGAAGCAGTGGGAGTTCGTCGAGGTGAGTGTACGACGGCCGGTGGTCCGGCCTACTGATATGGTTACACGACAACTGCAGTTTTTTTTTAGAGGCAACGCATCTTTTAATTCTTAATGAAGACATCAAACTAGGCTAATCAAAGGATAGCAAGTTTTCTAGCAGTACCTTCTCACAATCACACTAGCTCGACCACTATATCCATCCTCTTGAGAGATGAGCTCTAACTCGTCACCATTCATTCCTCTTCTCAGGACCTGTTGCGTTTATGATTTCACACTTATCCCCTCTACCCTCCCTCAGGAGTCCTGCTGCGCTTATGATGTCGCCTTAACTCCCTCCCTCGCCACCTCAGGACCTGCTGTGTTTATCTTCTCACCCCACCCCTCCCCCAGAGCTTGCTGCACTTTGAGATCACACTTGCCCCCTCCGGCCTCCACCCCTTCGGGATCTGCTGCCTTATGATAATTCCCTAACCACCTAGTATGGCCCTTCCACCCTCAGGATCTGCTGCGTCAGATGGCCGCTGAGGGTGTCCGGCCCAACACCTCCACCCTGACGGCCGTGATGCACGCAGTTCAGATGCTCGGCTCGTGGCGGAACGCCCGTGAGACGGCGCTGGCCGCGTGGCGTGAGCTGCGCGCGCTGGGCGTGCGACCCTCCCTGGCCAGCTACTACTGTCTTCTGTCTGTCTTCTATCGTGACCGTGAGTGGGGATGGGTCGGGTCAGGGCATTCCCTGACCGGTGCATCTAGTGGTGGACTTTTAGCGGGGCCTTGTGTCAAGTTGTGTAGACTGTGAGGGAAGCCTAACGAAATTCGCTGTCTGCGCTGAGTAGTTACGTGTCTGTTGGAGTGCTGGATGCGTTTCGGTGCGTAGGCTCTGCTTTTTGTTTTTGTTCTTTGTTTTGTTCCGAACGATGACTGGGATCAAGCGAATTTCATCGATACTGACGATTTTATGACATATTTAAAGGCTGATCAAAGTATGGGAGACCTCCTAAATCAACTTAGTGCAAGCTTTGCTCGTAAAAGATGCTGGCGAGTGACGAGACAGACCCAAATGTACTAAGAATCTTTCTAATTACCGCTGTTATTTACCACGTATCTACGACTGTAACAAGTGTCCCTATCTCACGCACTAGCTATTGGCAGTTATCAACACCGCAGGCACAGTCGCAAACCGCTCTTCCCCCCCCCCCCCCTTCCCCTCCCCCCAGGTAACAACTCAGCGGTGTCCGGCTCGCTACTGAAGAGTGTCCTGAACGAGCTACAGGGAAAGTCATTCACCATCGAGCACCCAATGGATACCTTCTTCTTCACCACTGCCATGAACATTTGCAAAAATAAATTGCAGGTGGGTGAAAGAGCGAAGCGCTGAGAAGCCTGGATAACGTGCTGAGTTTGGATGGTTCTTCAGTATCAGTTTTGGGTGCAGCTGTCAGTTGTAATCTTGATTCATTGACGTTTGTGTTTTATCGTTTGTACCAAGATTTGTACTTTATTTATTCTTTTTGATAACTTTTTTCATGAAAGCTGCATTCGTTCACTTATCAGACTCCTATGTGTGCCGGTGAAATAACGTTAGAGTATCTAGTCTTGAAGTTCCCTGGCATTTACATTTCTGTCGACTCAGCATCCAAAAGACAGAGATCGAGCTAACCGTATCGCAGCTGCTGCTCGACTACCTGACGCCGGAACGACTGTGCGGTGATAACCAGTATTACTGTACCAAGTGCACCGGCCTGCGGGACGCCGAGCGCCAGCTGCGACTGCTCTCTCCGCCAGCCAACCTGGTCGTCTCCTTGATGAGGTTCGCGGTTGACCGGCGCACCGGTGCACGCCGCAAGGTTCTCACCCCTGTGGAGCTCACCGAGTGGCTGACAGTGCCGCTAGCCACCGGCCCGCCCGCCCAGTACCGGCTGTATGCAGTGATAGTCCACGCGGGCCATTCGCTGGACGCTGGCCACTATTTCTCATTCTGTCGCGCCTCCGGTGGCGGTGGTATTGATGGGTTGGACGATACCGGCTGGTGGCGGCTGGACGATACGTCAGCGGTGCCGGTGCCGGCGGCCACCGCGCTGGGCCGGCCGCGCCGCTCCACCGAGGCAGCCTACACGCTGCTGTACCGGCTGACCGATGCAGCGGTGGCGGGGGCGGCGGGCGGCTTGTCGGCGCTGGCCGCCCTGCCTGGCCCGCTGCGAGCTGCCGTGGAACGAGACAACGCCGTTTTCCGACGGGAGCGGCAGAGCCGGACGGCTGGCGCACTGCCGATGGTCCACGACGGACGGCCGCCGCCGGGTGCCGGCTGCGGCGGCGACAGCGGGCCCGGCGTCCCTCGGATGCGTCAGCCGACGACGAGGCGAAGCGGTCCAAGCAGGAGAACGGCCACAACGGCGTCAACGGCCAGGCGGCGCCCCTGATATGCGTCCGCCCCGACCTAGACCCGCTGCCCCGCCCTTCTGATCTGGTTCACCTGTGCATGATGTCTCGTCGCATCATTTTATTGTGCTGTTAAATTTACCTGTTTTGGTGTAAATAAACGCAGTCAGTTTTTTTCACCAGCTCTCTAACACATCTAAAGAACCGCCGCTCTCCGACCAGCGTTCCGCATCCCAGCCCGGCACCGAGACATTGACCCCCCACCCTCCCCAGGACCGAGACCTGGCGCTACGTGTGGACGAACTCCTCCACACGGGCGACAACTACGACCTGATCGGCGACTCCTACAAGGAGGCCATCTACTACCGTAACCTGCTGGGACTGCTCTCCGTCACAGAGCCCATCGAGGCGTTCATTGAGAACTTTTACAACAAATTGGTGCCCAACGTGTACACGCCTGAGCCGGGCATTATGGAGGTAAGATAAGTTGGGAACTCTTTGGAAGATCCGGTCAAGAAGGTGATAAGACGTATTGTAACCCGGTTTGACTTAGTCTTTGTCTGACCTGCACCATCAGGGTTTGGTGAAGTCTGTCGGTCCGTGTTGATCCTGTCTGACCAGGCCAAATAATCTCTCACAGGATGCGCAGGGTCTGGTGAAGGCGTCAGTCTGTTTGTGATGCCCGTGTCTGTCCCTATCAGTCTGACCTGACCTGACCTCCCCCAGGGACTGGTGAAGGCGGTCAATCTCAACGGTGCCGTCCAGTACATCCCTCAACTCTGGACGGACATGGTGACCTTCGGTCATACGAACCGCACCAGTCTGCTGACGACCCTGCTACAGACCCTGGCGCTCAACCCGGGCCAGACGGACGAGCAGCGGCGCCAGCTGGCGGCCGTAGGGTGGGACCTCTTTGAGAGGGTCGAGCGACAGCGCAGCGACCGACATGACAAGTCGGACCGCCTGCAGTGAGTGGGGAGATGGGAGGCCGGAATAAGGAGGATGATGAATTGATAGGCCACCGAGGATGGGGGGGGGGGGGGTCTGGGACCGTAACGAGGGGTGGCTGTCAGGGTGGTGTGCTTTAAGAGCAAAAGGAATCGTATATGATATTGTTTAGGAAGTGCTGCTTGTGCGATTTCAGTGATTCCGTTAGGCCATTTTTACAATATATTATGCACCATTGCAGTTGGTCAAATTATTTGATATTGAGTTTCATTTAGTTGTTTGGAGTTTGAACTGCCCTGATGCTCAGTGACCTGACCTGACCTAACCTCTCCACAGCTGGACTGCGCCGATGCTCGGCGACCTGATCCTGGTGCTGACCCGTGCCGGAGAGGTCAGCCAGGCGGCGCGAATCCTGAGGAAGCTGGACGCCGAGCAGACTGAGATTGTTGGAGTTCCGGACGTTCGGGCAGTCCAGGGCCTCTTTGACATGGCGCTGGTCCATCAGAAGACGCCCGTCTGCGTGGTGAGTGGGGCGGGTCGGATGGAGAAAGAGGGATGTGATGGGATAGAGGGGTGAAATGATCAGGTTGTAGGTTTAGGATTTAGGATAGACTTGCGAAAGGAGGGAAAGGGTTCGGCTGCCGGAAGAATATCTGTTGGCCGATTAGGGCGGGTGTTGGATGGAGAACGCGAAGTCTTGTCTTGTTCCGGGGATTATTGTGGGACATCGATTCCCTTCCTTCCTTATCTTGTAGTAAAGATATCGTACGTTAGAGTTCCGTTGTCTTAAAGAGTCCCCCCCCCCCCCCACACGCGCCATATTACCGTCCGCCGATCCAAATCTAGCCGTCGGTTGGCGGACCGGCCCTGTATCTCGTAATCTCCTGCGATGCTCTGCAGCTTCTGACCCCGACGCTGATGAACTTAACAGTCTGGGTACCTACTAGTTACCTACGGTTCTCGGCCTGTTAGGTTGTCTCTCTTTCCGTGCCATCATCTATCGTCTATATAATCTATTATAGTAGATTATAGGCGATAGATGATGGCATTAATTATCATCTATCGATGATCGATGATGGCATAATTAATAGATAATTATCTATCCAACAGTATCGAACACTATCGTCTACCCAACTCTTTCTCTGACTGTCCGCCCTCCCTTCCAGCTATGCGCCCGCTACGCGTGCGAGATGGGTTTCGGCGAGGCGCAGGCCATGGCCGACACGCTTCTCTCCACTCTGCCTGTGACCGATGACGATCGACTGAAGCTGGCCTCTGCCGGGCTGGAAGTACCGCCGCCCCAGAGCTGACTGGTCGCCTAAACGCTGTGAAGACGTGAGTGTATGAGTGTGAGTGGGAGAGTTCATTGGATTGGATTGTGGGATGGTGTAGACTGAAGATGAGAGATGACATTACCTCGCTTTTGTAGGTGGCACTGGCGTGCAGTTGGTGCTAGAAGTCGAGTGGTGACGATGAGACGCGTGTGATGTGGTATAATTTTAGTACCATGGAGTTCGGTCCAGTTTTGTATTTGTTTTGCCGGTATTGTGAGATGTGTTGATGTCGGCTCTCAGGGGGCGTTCTATTTGTGCTGCTCCAGTCGCATGGAATATATGATCAGCCTCGTAATTATCTTGCTTTTATTTGTGGAAATTATAATCCATCATCATAGATAGGGTAAGGGCGGGTAAGAGTACGCGGGCGATAAGAGTACGCATCAGTTGTTCCGGTTGCTTAGCAACGCGGGTTTGTCGAGTTCATGAAGTGACATGAAGCCGCCAGTGCGTGCTTGTCACCAACGGAACGTGGGCGTTGAGCGGCGACGCTGTTGAGTTTAAGGCGATGAATATTATTTTCGAGCGTTATGATATCATTATGGTATGGTACAATAATTTTGATACTTGGCAGTTGAGATAATGGGACCGTATTAGAGCCGGCGATAATCACGGAACATTAGTGTCGGGGCAGACTGCGGCGGGGCAGACTGCGGCGACCCCTAGGAAGAACAACTAGGGAGAACAACATTCGACAGATGGCAGCACTAGACGAGATAATCAGGCAATACTTTAATATTAATGGGAAAGAAATCATGCCAATGTTTGCCCTCACCATGTTACCACGACAATGGAAGAATGTAGTGTAGTACCCCTCCCCGGGCCCGCCGCGGGCTGGCAGCGGCGGCCGGAGCCGGTCCGACCTTTGGCCGGCCGGGTCAGGTAACCGGGACGGCCGCGCCGCGGCGCCGCGGGGGCGCGGCCCGCGTCCGGGCCGGCCGGGAGACGGAGTCGGGTGCCCGCCGGCGAGCCGTCGGCAAGGGCGCGGGGCACATTAGTCGAGTTGAATGTTCACTGTTCAGTCTTGAGTGCGAGTGATGTATGTGTGAATCGATATGTGAGCAGCAAAATCCAACAAGAAAACAAAATCCGTGAAAGAAAGGCGACGCTGGCAAACATCACCATAGTCTTCCTATGCCGAACGAGTTCCACACCAACGTGCATCAGCGAGAGTAAAACTAGGATCCTAACAGACCCACCCACCGCCCCACCGTCACCCCATTCCTTCCCAAGTCTCCTTCCCCTCCGCTCGGGGCGTCTTTCAGCTACGCAAGAAGGAATCGGCAGACACAGACACCTGGGCGAGCGAGGAGGGGAAGTCGAGACCGTGTTTGCGCCAAAAGAGAAAACAACCAAGCTAGGTGGTAGGTAACTACACCTGCGCTATCTACATCAGCTGCCCCGCATGACACTAAGGTACATTTCCGTGATTATTGTGGGAAACTTGTGAGGTTATCTGGGGAAATACTGTGCAGTGCAATATTCTGTTTGCGAAGTTTTGCACAACGTTTCGGGGTTGTTTTGTGCGCGAATTGCATGTACGGTAAGAGGACGCACTGTTCAGGAGGGTAAGAGTACGCAGAATTATACATTAAATCGAATATACAGAAATATAAAATTATTAATATATCGCTCAATGACGTTTGTTTTGTAGGTATATCATCAATGGAGCACTGTGATGCAGATGCGTACCCGAAATTCTTCCAAATACGAGTTATTCTCCCTTTTGATTGTGCATTTTTTTAAGAAACACACGACATGATTATTTCCTGATTTATAGACTTGAAAGATTTATTTTATGTTTTTCTTTTTGGATACTAGAATTAACTTAAATGCCTTCTGAGTTTGAAGTTAAGCATTTGGACAGTACAAGTTGCATAGGTGTGTGTTCATAGGTATAGCTTGCGTACTCCACACGCCTGGCGTGCGTACTCTTACACACCCCATATGGTAAGAGTACGCAACTGCAGCGGTTCAGAAAATGTCAGTTTTAGACCACTTCCATTTACGCTGAAGGATCGTTGCCCCATGGGTTGATGGCTAATTCAATGACCTTTAATATTCCCTATTTGCGATTTCTTTCTTTCAAATATTAAACAAATGAGAGCAAGAAATCCACTAAGTGCGTACTCTTATACGACTTCACCCTATTCAAAGCGTGGAAATGGACAATCGCAGAAATACAGGCCGTGCCTAGAGCGTTCGGTAGGTTCTCTTCTACCTACTGGTTCTCTTTTCTGGTGCCAATTTATAAAGCATCTTCTCCATGAAGCCTCGGAGACTATACGATAGCGTAACCAGTCTTGTATTCGGGTTTCTCATCTCGGCACCTATTTGCCACTTCTCATGCCTAGTCGTTGTTTCCTTTGATTTTCTGTTCGTCATCTAATCTTTGGGTGCCGTCTTCCCCTTCTCTCCCGCCTCGCTCGTGTCAGGTGTCTCTCCGTTCTCTGCTGCATGGGCTCCCTCCGTCCCTTCCCCCTGTCCCTCCCCCTCTCCTTGTCCACTTCCCTCGATCGGGCCTTTGCCATCCCAATCATAACTAAACCCAGCCTCCCGTCTAATTCGTGCCGCATCCGCCACACTCAGTTCCGTGGCGAACCGGCGAGGGTCCTGCCGCAGCCTCGCGAGCTGTCCGGCTCCCAGTGTAGCCTCCAGGCGAACCCGTACCTCGTGCCTCGCAGCCAGGCGGCGCAGGAGTCGCGCTGCCTCCGTCTGTGACTCTGGGTGTGGTGTGGTGGAGAGGGCGACTAGTAGTCCACCGCACAGATCCCCGGAGAGGAGAGCGGTTAGCGCCGCCGGACAGCCGGCCGTTAGAAGGTCAGCCACCCGCACAGCCGCTGCCTGTTGACAGAATACATGCGCTGCTGGGATGTCGTAGAGTGCACTGAGCGCTGGTTCAGTCTCGTAGAGGGGATGATCGGTGCTGATTGCGTCAGTTGGTAGAAGTAGTGCCACCAGCCCGCGCACCACATCGTTACGTGCGCTGGTGTTGAGGAGGACTCGCAGCGCCTCAGCTACCTCTACGTGTAGGTTGACGTCTGGGTGACGCAGTAGGGCCAGGAGAGGAGCCACAGCGGCGCGCTGGTGGTCCGGCACGCGCGGTAGCACGGCAGCCAGCAGCCGGCAGGCCACGAGCTGAGCCTGACTTTCAGTGGACTCTGTGAGCTGACACATGAATTCAGCGAGCTGCTCGACGGTTCGTGGGTTTCCTTCGTGAAGCTGCATCAGCAGTCGCTCTACGCGCCCGGCTACAGCCGGTGTGGAGACCTGTCTTCGGCCCAGCAGCTCACACAGCACACGCAGGCCATCACCGACGACAAACGCTTCTTTGAACCTCCTCCCCGCTGCGAGCAGTAGAGAGAGCGTGCGCAGCACCGCGTCCGCGTGCGACGCACGCAGTTTCGCACGCCTCAGAGTGGCGAGAAGCGCGTCCAGAGCGCCTGCCTCCAGGGCTTCAGCGGCGAACCGATGACACTGCTGCGCGCGGAGGAACACCCGTAGTGCAGCCAGCAGGGGCGACAGCGGTGTGCTGAAGCCGGTCACCCCTCCGCCGCTAAAGTGAGACCCGTTGAGCCGGAGCGCGGCCACGAATCGCGCCAGGAGTAAACTGGCTCCTCCGACCAGCGCAGTTTCCAGATCCACTGCCGGCTCGGAGCTGAAGCGTCCCAGGAAGCTGGCGAGCAGGGCGGCGCGCACGCCCGAGCCGCTCTCGTCCCACAGTTTGGTGATGCGCCAGAGGTCATCTGCGCAGGTGAGTGGAGAGCCGAACGCTCCGCCGACCTGAGACGGAGCGGGCGCGTCACCTGCCGCGGACATGGTGTCGGGGCCGCAATGGAATTGGGGCACACACTGAGGGAAACGAATTTAATGTCCAGCTCAATACCTGAACCGTTGTGCTTTCGATATCCGCGATGCTAGCAAAAATACCGCACTGCCGCCCAAAATAGAAGACGTCAGCCAGCTTCCGCGTTCTTCTAGGGCCTCCGGGGATGGATGATCGGGATGATCGCGACGCTTTCGAATCCTTTCGAAGATATCTTTGGCTTTTGGCGCAGTATATTTACTGGTTTGTCCACGTGTTGCATTTGATAACCTTCCTCTCATTTCTCCCATTGCCCATCCAACGGCTAGCAGGCCGGGGACCCACCTTACGATTCTGTCGAATGAGTCTCTAGTTGGTGTCTACATACGTTGTGAACTATGGACTGATGGTGTTAGATATGGAATCGCTGAAGCAGATCCTATTCATCCTGGTGGTTCTTTTCCTTCCCTAGCCTCGTTTTGCCCTCTCTGATCAATATTTCACTATTGATAATGCACCAGACACACTCTGTTTTGTGTTTATCCTGTATTAGCGAGTCGTCTATCGCAGACAAGCGGTATCAAAATAACACAAACGGCATTCACGGCATATGTATGCATACAGTTTATAAAAACACTCGTGGAGCTACAATTACTCAATCATCCATTTCAATTACCTTTCTTGTGAGTTTGCCGCATTCGTTTAGCGTTTATATAATTTCCATGCAAACTCACGTTAAATACAATAATTTACCAAATCACAGGACGTCCGTATGATTATCAGTCTCAGTTGGGACCTCTTTCAGCCGAACGAGCCACAAGTGCAGCAGAGCACCATCTCACAGAGTCGCAAACGGAGCGCGCTGCACGCCTCGCGATTAACACTTCCTCCGTCGTGAGTCCGCCACTGACAAACGCGCCACTCTCGCGAGCCCGAGACTCTCGAATGCCTATCTCAATCGCTTCGGTACACCACACGAAATCGCCGCGCACATTTCACGCGGCGCTCACACAGTAGTAAATCAATCAGCACTTAGTTCATATAGGAGCAGCAATCGAGTCCCAGTCATCTGCTGCCCCAGTCAGAGCCCCGCCTCATGCAGCGAGTTCAGAAAGTTTCAGAGCGTAATTTGGCGCTGCTAAGATGCTACGAGTTCTCCGAGCGAGCTATCCTCAGCTACGGCATTAGAGACCGGATAGACTATCCTCAGTCCAGGAACTTCACCATTATTGCCCGCTTTGACCAGAGTCGCAGATTGAGATTCGAGTGTCATCGCTGATTCAGTCTGATTATTGGTGGAAGGATCATTAGACTCATTTTCAGCATTTAACTCTGGTATTGGCTCAGGGGTCGGCTCAGATGCTGGCTCAGGCGTTGGTTCAGGAGTTGATTCAGGAGTTGATTCAGTAGTTGATTTAGTAGTTAGCTCAGGAGTTGGCTCAGGATTTGGCTCAGATATTGGCTCATGAGTTGTTTCCATCGTTGGATCGTCTGCCATGTTGGTCATTGGCTCAAGCATCGGCTCAGTGTTTGGGTTGGACACCCTCCTAGCTTTGGTTTCTGGCGATAGTTCATGAGTTGGAACGTGTGTTATCTCTAACTCAATCATTGGCTCCGCTGTTAGCTCAGATGAGCCCGATGATGGCTCCGGTGAAGGCTCAGGTGTAGGCTCAGGTGAAGGCTCAGGTGTAGGCTGAAGTGTGGGCTCAGGTGCCGGCTCAATCTCAGGCTCAAACGCCGGCTCAAACATCAAATCGTGCGCCTCCTCGGCGGCCGCATTAGACGCCAGTTCTGACATTGGCTCTGACCATGGCTCAGACCTATTCAGAGAAGCCATTTCCCTCAGTTCGGATGCATGCTCTGGCTGGAACGCCGCTCTAAATCCTCCCTCGGGAATGGAGTTCATCTTGGGTACCAACTCCGCTGATAAGTCAGTATGGCGTTCCAGCTCCCGCATGAACTCCGGGTCAAGTGCAAGTTCAGGTGAGGATTCAAGCATGCGCATGAGCTCTAAGAAAGACAAGTCGGACTGTGACTGAGGCAAAAGTTCAGACTCCGGTGCTTGATGGGATGAGGGCTCAGGATGATCAGGCGATAATGTCATGTCGTGCATGGGCTCGGGGAATGACTCCAAATCGGACGATAGCCCGGCGGAGGAAGAGTCAGGTTCTGGCTGACCTCGAGGGAAATGTCCTGGCTCCAGATCATGTGGAAGCAAAGGCTCAAACTCTGGTACGTCGCGAGGAAAATGATCCATCTCCGGTACGTCATGAGGAAAATGATCCAACTCTGGTAGGCGTTGAGGCAAATGATCCATCTCTGGTACGTGCTGAGACAAATGATCCATCTCTGGTACGTCCCGAGGAAAATGCTCCATCTGTGGTACGTCATGAGCCGAATGATTCATCCCTGATACGTTATGAGGAAAATGACCCATTTTTAGTCTGTCATGAGGAAAATGTTCCATCTCTGGTAAGTCATGAGAAAAATGCTCCATCTCTGGTACGTGCAGAGGAAAATGAGCCATCTCTGGTACGTGCTGAGACAAGTGATCCATCTCTGGTACGTTATGAGGCAAATGAGCCTTCTCTGGTACGCCATGAGGAAAATGAGTCATCTCTGGTACGTCATGAGGCAAATGATCCATCTCTAGTACGTGCTGAGGCAATTGACTCATCTCTGGTACGTCATGAGGCAAATGATCCATCTCTTGTACGTGCTGAGGAAAATGATCCGATTCTAGTGCGTGCTGAGGCGATAACTGCGACTCCGGGACATGTGGAGACAAGGGCTCCGACTCTGAAGGATGCTGAGGCGAGGGCTCTAACTGAAGCGCTGACTCGGACAGTGGCTCTGGCTCTGGGGCGTGCTGAGGCAAAGACTCCGACTCTGGGGCGTGCTGGGGCGAATGCTGTGACTCTGCTGCTGACTCGGGCGCTGACATTGACTCCTCGATGATTCCAGAGTCATCCAACCACTGCTCACCGTGCGTCTGTGGGAGAGAAAGAAGACGACTTAGATGTGACAGCTGTGACACAAATAAAAGGGTTCATCGGTCGGGAGCATGCATGGTATTGCAAAACGTACGAACACAAAGCGAATAACTAAATCGTGGCTCATTTGCCCCTCTCTGCTCCCAAACCTCGAGAGCGTCTGCTAGTGTGTGTGTGTGTGTGTGTGTTTTTTTTGACTACTATATAAGTTAAAAGGTTTTCGGAGCTAAGACAGGTGTCTTCTAAGACCACGGCGAATGCAATGACCCGTTCTCACCTCTGTGAAGATGTCGTTTTCGCCTATCCCCGGGTGGTCCTGGCTCGGCTGCCCCGACCCGCATTCGACGCCACACGTCCTCGAGAATTTCCTGACGGGCGCCGGCCCCCTGAGGAAGGGTCGGAAAACGGGAGCGTTAGAGAGGAACGATACTAATGTTCAGGAACAATCGTGCCATGAACGCTATTTGAAGGCAGGCGAGTGGCCGATACGAGTATCTAATTCGTGCCGCTCATTTTCTTTTTAATTTGTCGCAAATCAAGTCAAGGAAGTCGAATCAAGTCAGCAAGTCAGTCTCTTTTGATCTCGATGCAATGGGCTAACTGACTAGTCCCATCCATTGAACTAACGTAAGCACACAATGCAGAGATACGCAGGTGTCTGTCACCAAGAGCCAAAGCCATTTACCACCCAGATAGGGTTAGAGAAAAAAGAGTGGAAACAAGTAGGTAAGCCTATGCCGAGGATGCCTTGGCGTGCGAGTGATGGACAAAGAGGGCGGATGGTTCAAGGCTTCAAGCTCGCAGACGTTTTTTACTTTCACAGCTACGATATTTTTCATTTCCAGCTCTTTTATGTTTAAAGCGAGAACTCATCTCAGTTTTGTTTATAAGAGAATGCGGGAAGGTGGTAGGTACCGGTAAACACATTACATATATTTCCTTTGGCGTTTGCTTAATATATGCAGGCGAAAGTTTAGTCACATGTGCTTATCCATTTCCCGCCTCAAATTACACCAAAAGCATGGTTTGTGCTACAATCACTACGATCTTACTGAATGGTTGGATCGTCTGCAACTTCCTTTCCCATTAGTTGAAGAATTATTTTGAATAATCGACTAAGTCTGCCTGAAAAGTAAAGTACACAGCATAGTTGGGACCAAGTGTGACATTTAGCCAATTGCTATTTTGAGAGTGAAAAGGTAGCTATAGTAGTGGAGAAGATTGCATGCACTAGTGTTTCAGAGGCCTATCTAAGCTAGTGCTAGTCGGGGAACAATAAGGGAGGCGTAGATTCATGACACGACTTTGTTGCACTCTGTATGAGGAGAGCGAATAAGACATGTGAGAGCATTCTGTCAGCAAGCAGGAAGTAGTTGATCACCATGCACAGCAAAGGTTAGTAACCCCACTGAGCTATAATCCTGCATGCATGAGCGACTGTTGTTTCCCGACCACAAATCCCACAGCCACGGTATACCGTGGCGTAATGTTTCATGCGTTGCAACTGATAATAAGAGTAAATAATCACATGAGTACAAAGCATCAAATATCATGAAATAGAAAGTCGTGGAAGGTCAAACAGTCATGTCGAATAGTCCATGTCGAAGAAGGTCAGTCTCTGTCGAGTGTCGAGTCTCGACATGAAAAGGAAAACAGTATAGTCGGAAGGCACGTTCACTGTTCGGTCTTAAGTGGAGGTTGTTGTAAATGTGTGTAGGGAGGGGAGAGCACGTGGCCGGACTGACTAGATAGGCGCCGAAGGGGCATCCGTTCGAGCAAGAGACAATCACGGGACAGTTGCCGCGAAGACGATGTATGATAGCGAGCTGAAGACGTGGACCGGTCTGGGTCGCCGGCTGCTGAAGACGGCTGGCTGTACCTGGGCTGCTGACGGCGTTTCCTCGGTCAGCTCAGCAGCGGGAAGGTCAGCGGTGACCTCCGCCTCTGGCCGCTCAGACACTGGCCTGAAACTGGCGCCGTCCAGCGGAGACGGCTGGAACGGCTGCCGCTCAAACATGGGCTGCAGTTCGGGTACGATTGGTAGCTGCAGCAGCCGCGCTGGCTGCTCCTCCGCCCTCGACCCGCTGCTGACCTCTGGACCGTACGACTCAGCCTCTCTCAGTTGGGGTCCCACCTCCTGCTGCCGCGTCTCCACGGGTACCTGGTCGGGGTGGTGCCGCCGGGGCGCCCCTGCCTCCTTCTCTCTGCTGACCTCCAGGAGTCTGTGCGGGTTGGTGTTCCCCGCGCGGCCGAGCTGCGGCCTCCTCCTACCGCCTCCCAGTCCGGGAAGGAAGCCCAGCAGTCCACCCAGGAACGATCCCGGACCGGAGAGCAAGCCACCCGGCCGCTGCGGCCGCTGCACCTGCTGCTGCTGCTGCTGGCGGCGGCCCGGCTGGTTCCTCAGCTTGTTCTTGGCGGCCGCGATGGCGGCGCGAGGGTCCTCGTCAGGGCGGAATACGACAGCGCCTGGCAGGATGTCCTCGGTGAGGTGCGGAGGTAGCGGGACGCCCTCCGTCAGCGGTGGCGCGGGACGAAGGAACGTGGGAGGTGCCTCCTCGCCCGCGGGCTGCTGGCTCTCAGACGGCGGTCCCTGCTGTTGCTGCTGGTACGTCGGTCCCTGTTGCTGCTGGAACCCTGAGGGCTGCTGCTGGTAAACGGGGCCCTGCTGGTAAGAAGGTTCCTGTTGTTGATAGGCAGCTCCCTGTTGCTGATAGGTAGGTCCCTGCTGTTGATATGAAGGTCCCTGTTGCTGGTACGAAGGTCCCTGTTGCTGATACGAAGGCCCCTGCTGCTGGTACGTTGGATTCTGCTGCGGCGGCCGCGTGGGAAGCACCACCACTGCCGGCTCCGGCTGAGCGGCCGCCTCTCTGCGATCGGCACTCGGGGACGGTCCTACAGGCACCACGGCCTCGGGCAGAGGGATGCTGACGGGTCGCGGACGGGCCACTGATGCCGGTCGCGACTGCGTCCGCTGACCCCAGTTCGACGGAGCGAAGCCCTCGGTGGGCGCCCCAGTCTTCTTAGTGACCGTGTTGTCCTCCCATGGGCCGCCGTCGCCGCCTTCCACCTCGTCGACCTCGAAGGCCAGGGGTGGGTTGTTCCTGTCGCTATCCTGCACCGGGATAAAGTCCGTTTCCAGCACGATGTCCTGCGCGTTGAACTTGTGTCCGGGCGGCGGTGCCTGGAACGCTGCCTGGCGAGGCACCTGGCTCAGAATCTCCGGATCGCCGAGCGGTCTACCGAAGACCACTCCGGGAAGCTGTGGCGGCGGCTCGCGGCGACCCGGGCCGTCCGAGCGTCTCCTCTGCAGGGTCTCGGGCGCCGGGCGCCGCCGCTGGGGCTTCATCGGTCGCCGGGCGGGGGCGGGAGCGGCGCCGCGCCGGTTGGTCGGTCCCCGACGCCTCTCCGGAGCGGCCTCCCTGGGCGGCGGCAGGCGATCGAACGGCGGCAGAGGCACACCGTCCGGCGGGGGACCGAAGAAACCCGGACCGAGCTCGGCAGGAACGGGCACTCCGTGAGGCACCAGCGCCACGTTCATCGTCTCGCCGGTGTTCGGCGGCGGGGGACGAGCAGAGGAGAACCCGGTCGGGGGCGCCGGCACCTCCTGAGGTCTCGGTTCCGGTCGCGGTGCGTTAGGGGCGTACGGGCTCGGACCGAGGTCCACCTGGTTCGTCTCAGGGGTCTCGTATTGCGGGGAGTAGGTCTGCTCGGTAGAGGTCAGGTCGGCTGAGGGAAAGGTGAGCTCGGCGGAGGGATAGGTTGGCTCCTGGGGTAGACTCTGAGGAACTACCGTCTCCTCCACAGTCACACTCTGCTGCGGGAGGCTGTCTTCGTAAAAGTAGTCTGCGTCATAGTCGATGTCTGCAACAGGGCCAAGTCCAGTCATTGTTCAGTTCATGAGTCATTTTTCATCTGGTTTCGAATCTTAGTTGAGTACTTCATTTTATTTTAAAGGCTGGCTAGCAGGCGCTTTTATTTATATGTGAAGCTTTTCGCTTTATTTACTCCAACGTAAATCACAACCAGTAACCCTCTACGAAAAACACATTCTATCGGACAGCGACTGACAGTGTTAGAAAGCGTCAAAGTGCCATTTCTGGTTAGTCTGGTGCTGGATGTGCTACACAAGCTGGCGTAAATACCTCCGGTTCCGCAGGAGTCGACCACGTTGATCTTCCATCCCAGGTAGCGATGAGTGAAGCACTGAGGAAGGAAATACAGCGTCAGGCTCTGCGAGCTTCACTAAACAGAACTTACGTAGAGCTATCAAGACTGTCATCGTAAGTAACACCAAGTAAAACAAAACGCATGCACTTGTCATCTGTACCTTATGACTTGCGTAGATGTCACTAGTGACCTTGTGTGTCTGTTCCCTGTCCCATTGCCCACCTCCACCTCCCGCAGCCAAACCTCACCTGGTAGTAGACGGTATCTGGAGTGTCGGCGTCTGGCGTCCACTGCAGGATACCCGGCTGGCCCTCCTCACAGTCGAGCTGCAGGGTACGCTGGTAGGCTCCGAACGAGCCGTGAGAGTCGGCAGGGTGGCCTGGGTCCTCCTTCCACGAGCACAGACGACCGGTGGCCGTCGGCTGCGCCTTGCCCCGGGCGTCCAGAGAGACACCGGCGAACACACGAACACTCTGCCGGGAGAAAGGGAGGAGAGTGAGGGGCGGTACATATGAACATGTGGCAATCCGTGTTTGTTGATGAATAAATGCCAAATGCTCTGCTGTGGTCTTCAATTACTTACGCTTTAAGTCAATTTAAAACAAATCTAGCGGCGGACAATATTGGAAGTCCGAGAAAGCCACGCCTGGTGGAGGAATCCACTACTCTGTAGCTTCGTAGTTTTGTTATGTAGCTTTCTGGCAAAGACGGAAAACATTGTCGCCGGTCGCTCACCTTCTTTTCCGTGTCGCTCTTGAACTCGTAGCCTCCCTCAGAATCGTCGGTGATGTAGAACGGATGGTACTTGGCCGACCTCTCCGGGTCCAGGCCGCCCTCCACCACAAACGTGTACGTCTGTCCGCGCACGACGTTAATCTCGGGCACCAGGAGGCCGTTGATGTACCAGGCGATGCCCCAGCCGACGCGGCCAGTGATGGCCTGGTAGCCACGCTTGCCACCGGTCGGTCCAATCTGGGCGTAGAAGACACGGTCGGCAGGCTCGTTACACTTGATGGCCGGGATGGTCCACGGTTTGACGGGCGCCGGAGCTGGCGTGGTGGCTGGTCGCCGGCGGGAGCCGCCGGAGCTGGAACCAGAGCTGGAGCTGGCGACGGCGCAGTTCCACTGGGGCGTACGGCCGAAGTCGAGGAGCATGTTGCCGCGCGTGCGCTTCTGATGGTAGCTGGTCTCGCCGGCCTGGTTGACGGGACCGATGGCCCAGATGATGGCCTGGGAGGAGTTGGTCAGGATCGCCTGGTCGAAGCCGTCGCCGGCGGCCAAAGGTCGTTGGAAGGTCAGCATCGAGAAGCCGTTGATGAGCGCAGAGTTGAGGAGACGAACTCCGTTCTTGCCGCCCTGCGAACACACATAACGATGAGATGCGTTAGAGAAATGGAAACGGCGTGTTATGCGGATAAAAATCGAAGGAACTGTGAAAGGACCTATGATTAGTCTTTTTGTTGATAATTCATATCGATATTCTTTGTCCATAAGTCACTTCTTCGCTTTCTTTACTTACGCACATTCATAACCAATCAATCAACCAGCCATGGAGACTTCCAGAGACCCCACTTACGCTGATTTTGCTGTCGGGGCAGGAGCCGCGTCCTCCGGCGCACTGCGACTTGGCCTGCAGGTAGTAGTCGTGCGCGTAGCCCTGTCCGGTGGTCCTATCCAGCCAGGCGACCACGACGTCGCCTCCGATCATCACACTGCGCGTCGGGTGACCGCTCAGGCCGAACGCCATGTACTGCCCGTCCTCTGTCGGAGGTCACGGGAACTAGAGGTTAGCGGGGCGCCACCAGCGACGGCGGAATTTGATGGAGCGCTGCCAGATGGCAGCATGGGTGTGGGGGCGGTGAATGTGTAAACTCATCAGTGGCGGCGCTGCCATATTGTAAGCATAACGAGCAACTATTATGCAAGACAGCACACATCAAAGCCCACACGGAATGACCACAGACTGTTCTGGGTAGGAGCTATCAACTAGGATCCATCCTGACAGCAGGATGTGAAGAAGACCTTCACACCATCATCGGAGCAATCTTGGAAAGCGGCTTCATCACCTCTGCCTGTCAGACTGTGTCCCATGCCGTCCGTGATTTAGTGGCGGTCTAACCTTGCCGTGCGCCGTCCGTGACTCACGATATAAATCACGAGCGTCGCCATGCTCTCCCCTCCCCCTCCCTGGGACGTGCAGGCCGCATGCATCCTGCTGCGCGAGACACGGGGGATTTTCCGGCCACCTCATGGCAGAGGGAGGGATAATGCCGCCGCCGGTGTCAGCACTGACAGAGCACCAGAGCCTCACGATGACACGGCACATTTGGACCGAGTGCGACCCGGTCCAGGAGGCGGGTTTACGGCGTGAGCTCGGTCGCAGGTGACGAGGTCGTGCGTTAGGAGGGGCGTGAGAACCGGAGGGGGGGGGGGGCTGTCACATTGGCTCAGCTGCCGGGGGGGGGCTGAAGGTGATGGAACTGGGGCACCGAGGACAAAAATGACGTGACTTGGACCTAAAAATAGGTCATTGATGGAGTGGTGCTGAGAGATTGTTCTGATGTGACATCGCAAAACTAGAAGATAAATGGTAAGCCGCTTCGAAATGGCGTACTTTTTGAGACGTCACATTGATTGCCTCGTGCATGTCTAATGAATGTAAGTGAAAAATGGATGTCTTGTAGTTACATTGCACCGATTTGCTAAGGTAATTATCGTCAATATAAGTGTGCCATTCAGCGATGTTTTCCGCTGCACCATGGATGTAATTTGACAACGACAAAGGTCAAGCAACGGTTAAATAGTTTTCTGAAAAGGTATTTCGCAAGCCACGGTTTATCCACTCGGACATAAATATTTATATATGTTTCGGAGAAGCTTGCTTTGACTATGAGCAAGGATAAGCGTATGGTTAAAATAATGTCGGTCAGTAGTCGTTCACATCGGTGATGATTATTGTTATACTCCACATCATCCACCTATAGGTTAACATAGTTACCTAACGTGGGAGGCCGACGCCTGGAAAGTGGTGGTACTGACCTACGTTGCTGACCAGCTGCATCACGATCGACTCTCCGGCGACGGCCCAGCGCACCTCCATAGAAGAGTCGGAGTCGAGAACCTCACAGTTCAGCTTCGTCTGGGGACAAATGAGTTGTAAGCAACATTCAGAGAAAGGACGCCAAAACACAGTCACTAACAACCGGGAACAAGTGATCAGACATGGTCAGAGAGGAGGCAAAGTGTGGAAATTCTAGTACAGTTTGTTCAGGGGACCGACATAGGTCAAACGTAAAGGCATTTCCCGGTAAATAATCGCAAACAAAGGCATCTGTGATGTTTATTCTGTGTCATTACGAGCTGAAGGATGAGATCGTGACTTGGCATAGCTGCTTTGTCTTTCTGCCGTGCGTTGTTACTTGTTACTGGTAATTGTCAGGTATCTTAGCAATCATGGACGGTAAAATAGAATAGCAAAATGATATGGTAATGCCGTTTATGGCGGTTATGACAACCTGTTACAATTGCACGTAATTGCGGACTACAGACTACATTTGTTTTAACCCGCGCACCGACGGGGGTCTGCGCCAACTTCGCACCGACGGGGGGGGGGGGCGGATGACCGCCCCCCCCCCTGAGATCTCGAGAACGAAGCAAGATAGCGACAAGCGGTAAACGGCATCGGATACGCACGGCCAAGATATACAATTTTTACTAAGGTCATTTTCAGGTCAGGTCAAAGATGACGTCACAGGGGTCGAAAAAGTCAAAATGGCGGCGCTAGATATGGAGAGAGTATTTCTCGAATAACTTTCGAATTAGTCAAGATAGGAACAAACTAAGGGCATCATCGTGATCCTCTCGTCAATCCGCATCGAATGATATATATGTTGACCTCGAAAGGTCAAGGTCAAAGGTTGACCTCAGGTCACGTGACCTCGAGGTCATCATGTATATCATTCGATGCGTCTTGACAAGCTGAACACAATGAGACCATCCACGCGTCTGTATCTTGTTCCTGTACGGAGTTATTGGCCAAAAACCTTTGGTGACCTTTGATGACGTCACATGACCTCACAGCTGCCCAACAGCAAAACAGACCTCAAGGTAGTGAAGGTTGATCGTATATGAAGTCATGTATGGTATATGGGGCCATTCCGACCCGTTTTAGTGGTAAAAACAGGGAGTTGATTTTTCCCCCATTGACTTATAATGGGGAGGTCGCGAAATTGACCTGACCTTAGGTCACCGATATCAAAATTCCGAGATATACAAATTATAGCTACTAATGCCCTAATAATATCCTGCGACTTTCAAAGGCCTCCGACATCTACTGTAGCTCTGGCACGGTGACAAAATTGCAAAAAAGTGACTTGAGGTTGGGTCATTCAAAGTGACCTGGTGACCTGACCTTAAAAGGTAAGAGGTTCATACTTGCACACCATGTGTAAAATTGATGAGGTTATAGTCATACTAAATTTCGCGGCGCTATGCGCCGCGGTTTTCCCGCTATTCGCGAAAAAGCTCAGGAGGGGGGGGGCGGATATCGGCCCCCCCGTCGGTGCGCGGGTTAAAAGCATCATTTCATCGAGTGATGTATTTACTATTTAGCTATACTTTGTTCGTCACATCACATTTCATGTTCCTCTGTCCTACCCATTTGTCATTATTCTTCACAGTTCACACCATTACTTTATGTAGTATGCCTCATTTGACTTTCTTTCCGCACTCCAGCCATGGTTCAATGTTCAAAGATTCATATGGCTCAGGAGCATTTTTATAAATAGCATCGCCTATGAGTAATTCGTCTGATGATGCCAGTTATGTCGCCTTGTCTGTCCTTTAGTCTCCGCCCACACGGTGCAATCATTTACCTTCCTGCTGATTGCACCGTGTTGCTGCACAGTTATTTCAAACTAAGCACCCGATAACATCAGTTCACAAACGCACTTGCTCCTTATCGGCTGCACGCGACTGAAATACAAGCCCGTGATCCCAGGCGATCCCACACTGTAAGGCAATGCCGGCAAGGCATTTACCGTATACCTGCTCGGGAAGATCGGTATCGTGGAAACGGGGAAATTCGCCGTGAACCTTCACCTACAAATCAGGTAGCCTGCAGCTGGGGGGTAAGAATGCAAAAGCTATAACTAGGCCTTCCGAATGAGGAATTCCTCACATTGTTTGTAGAAGAACGATCGCTACCTGCTCATTCCAGCCGATGCATGGACTGGAATACCAATACCATTACGATGGCATTATCGGTTTTACTCACTCGCGACGGTCGATGATTCACATTTGATGCGAGTCCAGCCGCTACATTATTCTGACTGTTATGTATGTCGAAATCGGTATATAGGTATAAAAACCAACGGATTCTCAATTTGCCATCGGCTCACACTAAGATATTGAAGGCATTGTTCCAAAAATACATACATATAAACCTTCCTGGTCGGATGCGAGTAAAAACTAAATAACGTAAGCTGTGGCGATCATCGACCCATTTCGTCACCCGACCTAAATTGGTATTTTTATCACGACTCACGCATCTGCCTCAGGTGGGAGCGCGTGCGGTCGGCTCTTCTGATCGATGCGCCTATCCGGCACGTGGAAACTGATGATTAACGGCCTCTACTATACCGTAACAGGGCTACTGCGCGCTTGGCCGGCCGCATATCGGTTCGGTTCACCGGCCGTTCCGTTAGGCGGTCACGGCACGCGCCTCTCCCGTCCGATTTCTGTGACTGTCTTATTGCCGTCTGGTGGATACGGAAATATTTTCGAGTCATCTCGCTCGTCGTCGGCGAGGTGGGAATTACTGGACGCCTGAATGGGACGTCAGAACGGTGTCACATTCTGGCTGCTGCTAGTGTGGTTATCAATCATGGTGGTGACGCGGGTGTTATGAGTCGTGACGCCTAAATGTGACGACACGGGATGGTCACGAGTCACGAATGTATTTTTCTCTCCCTCCCTCTCTCTCTCTCTCTCTCCCTCTCTTTCTCTCTTCTTGCTTCTTTCCTCATAGTCACCGTGCTTTCCTCCTTTCTCTACCAACCACCGCCTGCCTTGCCCTGTCCCCTCATATACCACAGCAGAGCGCCTTCCTCGAACCAGAACATTCGCTTCCGTGTGCGTTTGGTGCCGAGACGCCCACTCCCGGCACCGCAGGCGCCCCCGCCGGCGGCGGCCGGCCGGTCGGCTCCTGCCAGCCTTGCCCCACATCGGCACCGGCACTGCCGGCCGACCGGCCGACCCGTCGCTAATTGTTCCGACCAGCCCGACGGAAGCCTTGACGCCGTCTTTGCCGCTGAGCGTCTCTCGCTTTAGCTGTGAGGCCCGTCGGACTCTATCCCCACCACGCCGTCTGCCGCTCGACCCCACCGGAAGTAGTCGCCCTGACAGCACGTGCAACTGAAGGTCAACGCTGTCAGAAGTGACCTCCGACCTCGAGGGCGCCACGGGGCGTGTGCGAAAGTTTTGTCTGAAGGAGGGAGGGGTGCAGGGAGTGGTGGTTAGGTCAAATGGCCTTATAGCTCATTAAAAGGTGTGAATCTTTGTGCCGTCTGTCCTGTAACCTTGTGTCGCACTTCCTGTGCGGAACTTCTGCCACTTATGGAACGGTCTACTGGCTATGGACTCTAAAGAGAAAGAGACAGAGGAAGAGAAAGAGACAGAGCCGAGATCCGGTTCTTTGATCACACTTGGCGTGCTCTACTGTCCTGACATTTAATCTTGACCTAGAGACGCGCGGTGTGCGGCGTCCTCCAGTGGATACCGGCGGCCGGCGGCGGGGGTGCGGTCTCCATGGGAACGTCCTGACCCCGCTGACCCAAGGTCAGGTGCTCCCGTGTCGCCCAGCGGGCCGCCGGAAGGTGCCGGAGGTCAGGGCGGCGCCGGCCGACTGCGGAACTGGGCACCGTCCTCGTGATGTGGTGTCGGCTCGGAGCTACTTCCTGACACACCCAGCTGGAAATCGAGAGGCTGCAGAGCGGCTGACAGATACAATCAAAACGGCTCCACATATTTGTTCACTGCATTCACTGTAGAACGACCAGGGTCTGACACTAGATATCCACTACCCATTCAGAATCAAGATACATCCAATCAGACCAGCTGACCTACGCTCTTCCTCCGCCCCGAGCGATTCAATCTTCGCACGGAATCTCGTTCAGGGTCAATGATTTAATCGCCAATTAGCGAAGGCCGGAATTTCTGAGAACGATCTGGCCCTTCGTCCACCTTTTTGTAGATCAGAGGCCAGTTTTACCAACAGAAAAATAGCAGCCCGGCGCAATTTTTCTGTCAAAAACCAGCCGACGAGTTTCACCAACCAGGCGAAAAAATATCCGCCGGCGTGAAAAAATATCAGCCAGAAAAATAGCCAATGAGTTTCACCAACGGCAAATGCGGCATTAATGGAGTGTTATTTTGCGCCATTATTTGTAGAAAAACAGCCCAAAAAATAGACGGGCGACCCCGTCTATTTTTTTGATGTCGTGTTGGAACAATTGGCCTCATTTGTTACTAATTATCGTGATTTGCGCTTCCCAGTTGATATAATAAAATAGTATCATTCATGGCCAATTTGTAAAGCATCTGGGCTTCAAGATTAGAAGAGGAATACTGATGATATTGCGTAAAGAAAGAGCCTTTGTCACCAGGCAGGACCAAAAGGAACCAACAGACTGGTGTTTGGTGTTGTGGTGCTAGTTTTTTCGTTTTATATTATCTTTTTGCTACAAGCACCCAACAGAAAGATGATAGCGCATTAACTAGTGGTCAGCTTACAAGTTCATTGCTCGCACGGAAGTGGAAAATAATGATGGAAGGTCATTTTTGAAAATTGAAGGTGCTTGAAGAAATGCTGGAAGGAGAGGCAGAGAGGGCAGGCTCATTGGACTCAAGATTTTAAATAAATATGTCACTGTTTTCACATATTCAGCTACATTTGACATTGCAAGGCACCAGCTACTGATTGATACTACTACTTTTGGGTGGAACTTACTTGAGCTGTGCGGAATAGGGAAGGTGCATTGACATTGCTAAGACCAAAATGGCAAGATTTTCAAGATAAATGACAATAAATTTAAAAAAAAGAAATTGAATAGCATGAAAGAAATGTATAAAGGCTTGTTTTTGAAGCAAAACGTGCAAAGTTTGCGTGGTTGCGAACCCGAACAAACTTGCTGAAT